AGCCTACTCTCTGGGAGCTTTCCATGAGATGATGGAAGAGAAGCCGTTCAGAGTTGCTGGAAGTGGGCAGTGGGGGCTGAGGGTTCTCCTGGAATTGTGTCAGAATGGGAAACCGCGAGAACGAAGGGAAGGTGGCTCACTTTCCCCATGGCGTCAGCAAGGGCAGTGGCTGGAGGGGGGCTGCCACGGAGAATTATGGGGGCGGAGGGGGCATTGCATTCCTGTGATCTGTGGGTTGGATGTGTTTTAAAATTATTGGGAATCGGGAAGCAAATTCTTCAAGATGATGGTGGTGGTGATGATGTTGGCTGTTGCGGTGCCAAGATTGGTTTCTTTGTGGTTCCCTTTGTGCCGGGGCCCCGTGGGGTTCCTACACGCTGAGGGATCTGCTGTCCTTCAGGGCCTCCTGAGCACCAGTGTGGAGTGCAGCCACCCTGGCCAAGAGGTGACAGCCGTGCTCTCTTCGTGCCAAACCAGGTGTCCCATCCTCCTCTGTTCTGCTGTGGTAAGAGACCTTCATCACAACTCCCTTTCTGAAGCTCTCCTTAAAAAAGAATCCTGGGCAGCTCCATTGACTGGTGGCGCAGGGGGCTTCATAAGCCGGGCTTTGTTTGTGGATTAGGAGATGGACTTTCCAGAAAACAGCGTAAAAAAGAAGTAGCAGCCCTGGGAGGACGAAGCCCCAATATTCACCTTCTCTGTTGGGTTGAAGATAATGATGAATGCATTATTCTAATTTTTCTCAAAGATGCTTCAGTGATGCAGAGCTTGTTTTAATAAAGAAACACATAAAAACCTCAATATTGGTTTGGCTGCCAGAACAGTGGCTGACCCAAAAGGCTTGAAAAGGGGCTGGTTGTGGGTCTGGGGGACCGGACATGTGGGGGCCACTGTTGCCGTGCATCGTAAGGAGAGGGAGGGTGGGAGCCATTGAATCCCTGGACAGAGGATCTTCAGGAAGGTCCAGCACAAAGTTGGAGATTTCTGTATTCAGTGAATATCTGCTGTTTGCCTTCCTCCAGCGATGGTGGCCCAGGCTGGAGTTTGTGCTTTGCTCACAATGGAAGAGACTCTTCAGTGCTCCTTTGGCTCAGGGGCTGCAAAGCCTCAAGGATTTACAGTCTTCTCTCCAGAGGTGAGTCCAAGGAGCTGTGTCTTTGCAGCCGTGAGGCCTACATCTGTTGTCCCAGCAAACACCTGATCAAATTGCAGCGCAGAGTAGATTCCGGTGTGTGTGTGTTATATTCCGGCTGCTGTTCAATCTTCCCTGGATCCAATGAACTCTACCTGCCCTTGTGTGGGCCTTACCTCCAACAGGCCCTTATTCCAACTGGTCCAGTGCCCTTTACCAGCTCACCCCTCCCTCAGGAAGAGATGCCATCTGAGAGGTTGCTTCCCATGTACTTGGAGAGCAGAAACCCAGCTGGGTCGTGGCCTGCTAAGGTCTCCTGGCGCCATCAGCGGTCAGTTTTTAGGATTGACCGGGCAATTCTCCCACTGACTCTGCCTTCGCTTCCTAGCTGCCTCTCATCGGAAGCAACTTCCCTGCCCTCCAACACAATGTGGGTTTCTGCTGCTTTCTTCCACTTCGCCGCCCAGCAGCAAGCGGATCATGAAGGAAAGGGAGAAGTGCTGAAAAGGTTGGGGCCCAAAGCAGAGCAGGTGAGTTCTTTCAGCTTCCACTTCCAGGAGGAAAATCTTAGGGGGGAGTTCTGGCCAAATGCAAGTTTAAAAAGTGCTGCCTGGGGAGGGAGAAGGGAAGCGTTGACCTTGGATCTGATAATCTGGTTGAGGGACTGGGTGCTCCAGCTTCAAGTCAGTAACTATTGTGGCTCTTTTTATTCATGGTTCTCAAACTGGCAGTTCCTGGCGTACGTCCTCTTCTTTTCCGTCATGGACTTCATCTCGGCAAAAGTGGCACCAGAGGCGAGTTCTGCTTCCATACTGGCTGGTTGGGATGGGGAAATGAAGGAAGGTCAAGTGACTGTGAAGCCCACCCTGGCTTGACCTTTGCAGACATGGTGACTCTGCCTTGCCTTACATTGATTGAGGTTAAAGTTGAACTGCTACAAAGAGCTGTGGATTCATGCTCTGAATCCCTTTTTGGATTTGCATCTAAAACACCACACAGATTCTTTTAAATATGCATTATTGTGTAAACTGGCTAGAGGCCTACTCACAGAAAATGACCACAGAATATAGCAGGTGGCTTGTGAAAAAGTTTTTTGCAGATGGGGAACGGGAGGCTAAGGTTTGTTTAAAGCTGCACAGTGTCTGTGGCAAGGATCAAGAAATAAAAATGTTCTGTGTCTCTTATTTCTAGGAAGGGACAGATGTTCACAAAGTTCTGGAATGGAGTTCCAGAGTGCTTCAGCGCTTGGTGGAAGAAGGGGCTGGCTGGCTGGCTGTCTTCTGTCCAGCAGGAAAAGGTGCAAAAACTGTGCTCTACTGTAGCTTCAGGGCAGGACTGATGGCAGCGCTCTGAAAAACAAGCCCAAGGATTCCTGTCCCTTTTGGTTTGCAGGCTGTGAGCTTTATGAGGTCTTGCGTGATGCTGTGTCCGATCAGCACTTGAAGATGCTGCCGGTTGCTTTCTACAGGTAAACCTCAGAAGTGCTCTCTGCGTGTAAGAAGGTGAACTTCAGGGAACGGGAGGGCAGTGGGAGAATTGCTTCAAAACCGTTGGCATCGCTTACCAAAGAAAGAAGAACAAGGCTTTCCTTGCTCACTCTGACCTGGGGGGAGGGTGTTGCCTCCCTGAGGCTGGCAGAGAAGGGCTTTCTGGGGTGCGGTTGAAGCCTTTGCCTTGTTCACTTTTCCTTAGCCTTTGGGACTAGCCCGCTTCTCTTTGCGGATGTGCTATGACAGTTGCTCGAATGTTCTCACAAGGCTCTGGGCCAACAATTGTCCTAGACAGTGTGCAGAGGGCTCTTTTTTTTTCCTTCCAAGGGTTCCGTTGTCCCCACGCTGGCAGTCAAAGGCCAGCTTGATCTCTGCCTGCAGCTTTTCTCTCTTCCGGGTAATGCAGAGATGCCCTGAATGGCTTTGCTGTCTGTTTAACATCTGCCACTTTCCCCAGCCTCCTCTTCACCTTCGATGTGGAAGAGCTTATCAGAGAGCAAACACTCCTCGGCGTGGCTGTTGACATGTACACGCAACTGCTCCAGCTCTTTACAGAAGGGGCCGCGGGGGTTGGACCAAGCCAGAGGGAGCAAAGTCTGCACGTCTGCAATCTCGTGAGCACACAGGTTCCTCGAATGGCTGGGTTTGCCCTCCAGCATTTCCCCCCATGTCCTTCCTTTTTCTTGGCACCCATAGCTGACCCATCTGACGGGTGGATTGCCTCGATCCAGAAACTGCGAAGCACCCAGCTCAACCAGACAGCATCCAAACTGGGCTGAGTGGTGCTGCTGTGCATTTGCACACACATGAGGGGAGAGAGGGTGCTGCTGCATCTCAAGAGAATGTAACTGATGCAAAGAATGTTGCATTTCTGTGTTGACTGGCACTGTAAAACAGAAAGCGTCCTTCTCTCACAGGAAGGATGTGCTGGAATTGCTACTCCCAGAATTCCTAGCCAGCATGGCCAAAGGCTGAGAATTCTGGGGAGGGGGCGATCCAAACACCCAGGCTGATGAAAACTTAAAAACAACTGCAGAAAGCTAGCCAAAGTGATTATGAACAAGAATAATACATTCAGTCCATTTGAACATGTGATACAATTGCTTACTATCTGAGGAAAGACTTAAGCAAGGCCAGACACATAGGATGGCTGGAGAAGGACATCCATTACCAGCTGCAGTCCCTCCAATTCTTACTCTGAATCTCTTACAAAGCTGGTTTGAACTTGCTTTGTCTTCTCTAGGGAGATTCATTAATGATGATCCAGCAAGCACGGCAACTCCTACTCCGGGCAATCCCCCGGTGTCCTCCAGAGAGCTTCTCCAACCTCCAAGAGGTGAGTGCCTGCTCTGAACATCTGAAAGACACAGGGGCCTAGAAGCTGGTCCTGGTTCTGTTGAGCCTTTGTGAGTGTATAGCACAGCACTTCCTACTTTTGATCACACACGCTTTACAAAGTTCTCCCTATAAATTTCACTAGGGCTGCACCGATTTCAAATTCAGCCTTTACTGAAACTTTGCAGCCCTGCAAGGAGGACATAGGCAACAGGATCAATCAGCTCTAGCAAACTGGAAGGACAGAGATGTGGACCCAGGATGGCTCCTGCAGGAGTTTTCCAGTCCTTCCTCTCAGCTCTTTCCAGCCCAGAAGACAGGAATCCCACCTGAATCTCCCTTCTTTGCATGTCTTGCTTGCCTTCAGCTGACCTCTTTCGCCTCTTCATCCCTTTCTCCTGTGACAGTAAGGCAGACTTGCTGTCTGCAAATGTAGTTTGGGGGATGAGAGGCGTAGCTTGAGGACAGAGCTTCCCCTTTGCATGTGGGGGGTCTCAGTTTTGTCTAGGCCTTCTCTAGTTCAAAAGAAGCCAGTTGCAGAGCAGCTGTCAGTCAGAACAGACCCGAAGGGCTAGCTAGACATGCAGCTTCTTTTTTCCCAGACTTTTAATCTTTCTCACTGAGGGAGAATTGTCTGTTTTGCTGCTCTGGGATACCCTGACTGCTCTTATCTATAGTGATCAGAAACTGTAGACAGACTCTAAAGAGACGATGCTTTTGGAAAGAACACTGCTCAACAGCCATTCTTTCCTCCCAAGAGAGGATTAGCAGCACTCTTGGCTCTGTTAAAGATTTTGCTTTAAGGCCAGAGCCACATCTGCACCTCTTTCCCTCCCCAGATGTTGGACCTTTGTGGCGATCTAGATCCAGAGCTCAAAGCAGCCCTCAGCAGCACAGGTGGGGATTTGCCAGAGGAAGGACTCCTGCTTTTCTGAAGGCTGAAGTCCCCACAACTAGGCCTCAAATGAGTTTCTGCAACCCACCCACCCCCAGCCAAAGATGGACAAATTAAATATGTGCCTTGAAGCCGGATCTGTCCAGAGTACTGTGTAAATAATTTATTACAAGCATAATTATGACTTTGAACAATAAAAATTAGGTTACAAATGTCCTGTTCTTCATTTTGAGTTTGGCATTTAATGTAAAACATCTGGATTCAAGTCTCCATCATTCTTGAGATCCATCACAGGGAATTTATGGGTGTCTTATGAGCTATACACACCTTTATAACAGGCGTGATGCCTTTTGATCATCGTCAGCGGGAAGGGCAGAACAGACCCTGCCTTTTGGTAAAGGAGAGACTTCTCCATAGGATGTCGTAGCCGTCGTTGACGTAAGCACAAAGAGAGCGGTCACAGCACGGGAAAGCTGTTCGCAGGCAAGCAGAAGTGATTTCCCAGGGCCTCTTCCGAAGGACCCACTAAAAGACAGACAATCTCCTGTCCTGTGCGATTGATGCAAAGCCGCGTCAGGCGCTTTCAGGTGGGTTCCTGCTGCGCACTCAGTTCTACTTTGATAGGCTGGCCTTCCACAGTGTCCAGCAGTGGCTTGGGCTCCGACTCACCCTCCTTGGCTCTCTCCTGCGTCTGGGTCAGGGGGTGCACCATGGACATGTGAACATTGAGGTTGTGGGCCTTCTCGAAGCGCTTCCCGCATTGGTCACAAGCAAACTCCAGCTCCGTCTCTGCCTTGTGTTTGGTCATGTGGTACTTGAGGGAGGCTCGCTGTCTGCACTGGAAGCCGCAGATTTCACACCTGGAGAGGGAGAGCAGAGCACAAAGGACTACAGGGCGGACCTGCTTCCACCCAGCTTTGCAGAGGTGGGAAAAAATGTTCTCAGCTCTTTACATTCTAGAGCTGGTCTTTGAACTGTATCTGAAAAAGACTCCAGATTCCGTATCAAATGTTCAAAAAGCTCCTTTTGTGAAAAAAGAGCATCGGCAGGACAGTCATACTTGCACTAAAGGAAACCTGGCAGCTGCTTTTCTTTTACAGAAAGGAGGCCCCTCTGGCCGAGCTATTTGGAAACCTTAGTCCTAGAAGCAGCAATCTTACTAGAGGACATGTGAGGCATAAAAATAATCATCTCGGGGCTGAGAGAGAGCGAGAGAGAGAGCTCTCATCTGATGGTGCATGCACAGGCAAAGCTCATCCTATGTCTAAAAACTCCAACATGCAGCTCTAAGCAGACTCCTGGATTGGCACCAGCACTTACTGAAGTGGCTTTGCTCCTGAGTGGCGCATCTGGTGGACAGACAGATGTTTGCGCTGTTTGAATGTCTGGCCGCATTCATCACAGATATAGTTGCGCACCTCTGGTTGGAGAAGAAAACAAACCATTATTCCTTGTCTGAGCCTTGTACGAGATTTTTTAGATTGTGAATTCCAAATTCTCTGTATTTTTTGGATTGTATTCTAGAATTGGCTGCAAGCAGGTGCCCTCACCTGTGGGACCAGGAAAACAGTGGGGGGGGGAGCTGAAGAAAACCCCAAGCTTCTCCCTGAGATACCATTTTTAGGCTCCACCTTTGACAGGCAGTTGTCGATCTTTTAATAACTTGGTTAGGGAAGGAATGCAAGAGTCCTGATCTATTGGGAATGCTGTGGGATGAGGAGCCGGAGAAGAGGAGGAGGGCCATTTCTTCTCAGGAGTGGCCTGGTGGTCTCTGCTCATCCTACAGAGATCCTTGCAGGGAAAGGACAGTCCTTGGTCCTGCCTGGGGGAGGGGAGGGGGGCAACAAGGCCGCCTTCCTGAGCCTTTCCAGGGAAGAGAGGTGGGTGGGTGGGTGGGCGATGGCTGGCGTCCGAGGGCCTACCGGTATGAATGAGCTTCACATGGCGCTGAAGATAGCGGTCAATCATGAAGACTTTGTTGCACCCTGGGTGGGGACAGGGCCTCTCCCGGACCTCTTCGTGATGTTCTTTGATGTGCTTCTAGACCCAACGGGAGAGGGGGCGTTAGGTGAGTGGGTTGCCCTCTGGCCTGCTTCCCTGGCAGGTTCATCCCTGGCTCTTCTCTCCACCCCTTCTTTCAAGGCACGGGCCTTGGCATTTTGAATCGGCAGGAGCTATTGAGCCTTTTGATCCACCAGCCCCATGCTGTCAATCAAATGGGCTTTGCAGAATGCACTGCTTTAGTCGCAAGCCAGTTGTTTTTCTCTTTAGGGTCTAAAAAGGGTTTTCCCTCCCCCAATACAGCTAACTGCAAGATTGCAACCCCCAGATTTGTTTTAGACAGACCTTTTCTTGCCCTGGCTAAGGCCACTGAAAGCGACTGGAAGGAATCCCCCCCCCCCCCCCCCCCGCCGTGACTGGCTTCTCTTGCAGGGCGACCTGGCTTACCTTCATGCCATCCGCCCCTCTGTACACAGCTGTGCAGCCCTGATAAGGACACTTGTAAATGTTTGGCAGCTCCTCCCTGGAGAAGAGAAGTGCAGCTGGGTCAGAACTGGTTCAGGCTCCCCTCGAGGTCCTTAACCAGGACTGCCCCCAATACCTTTCGCACTTGATCTTCTTCTTCCAGCCAGGTTTGGGTCCTGGCTTCTTCCTTGTTTTCAGCTCCTCCAAGTTTGCTTCCTTGCTTTCCACTTTTCTGTTGTTGGACACCCTGAGAGGAAAGGAAAAAGTAGGAAAAGTGGCTGGAGTCATCTCTCCAGGGAGGCTGTCGGTGCCACCACGTGCTGTCCTTCTGGAGATGGAAGTGGGGAGAAGGGAAAAGTTCATGGCATCTTCACCCACAGGAGGTGCAACGGTTGGAGCAAAGGCCTACCTTTTTTCTGGATAAGGCTCAAAAGATTCATCTGAAGACTGCGCTCTCTTGTGGTTTTCATCCTCATTTGAAGACTCTCTGAGAAAGGAGACAAACTTTTAATCATTTCACTGGTTAAAATAGAATGGTTAATACAATGTACTTCAGTCAGCTGCCAGTGTACAGGCAAAACAAGAACTTAATACATAAAATAAAAATACAATTTGGTAGCCAAGTTACCTTTCCTTGGCCAGCTGCCCTGAATCAAGGAATTTCACTTCCCCAAAAGAAAACGGCTTAGAGCAGGTTGATGAGGGGCCGTGCAAAGACCACAAGGCCACCAAAAGGCAAGGAAGAAAACTGGCTGTCTGAAAAGAGCTACGGAGAACATGGTCTCTCAAATAACTGGATGCTGGCATTCAGAGCTTTCATGAAAATCAGGATTCAAGCTTCCGTCGATTGCAGGATCCCTTTTAGAAGCTAAAAAATGCCTGTAGATGTTCCTGAGAGAATTCTTGGAAAGGTTCTGGGACAGAGAAAATAGGCTTCTAGATCTCAGTCTCTCACTGTGATTAATTGTATCTCAAGGCAACATTTTAATATTTAAAACCACCAGCAATGGTTACTCAGTTTTGTCCCAATCTATAATCAATCTTCTTCCCCCCCCCCCACCTCTATGTATTCTTAGCAAAATTTTGAAATTGTACACAGGGGCTTCCCAGCTTGGAATATAACAACCGGCTAGCCACTCATCCCAGGTGTTATAGCAGCTCTTATTTTCCCCATCACCAGCTGGCTGGTCCTTTCGAGCTGGAGAGCCTGCAACCATTCCTCAGCCATTATTCCGCTCTCCAGAATTCTGCAGTGGATGAGGCTTTCCTGGAAGCCACAGAAGGAGCAGCTGCTGCTGTTTGAGGAAAGGCAGTTGTACGGCCACTGTAGCCTCTGCCTTGGCTTGAGCTGATTATTCACCAAGTGATCCCCACCCTCCGTAATAAGTCACCCAATTCTGTCCTGACTTCTCTGGGATCAGCAGTGCTCCAATATTGGAGACAGCTCTGTCCAGAAGACGGCAGTGGGACAAAGGGTGACTTTAACGGCAAATGGGGCTGCAGGCTCTCCTGAAAAGGACCCTGGAAAATGTGGAAGCTCCTCCCCATTGAGCTCAGGAGCAGCATATAGAAACCTGGTTTCAGCAACTCCAAAAAATAGTATAGGAACTCCAGATGCAACAGCTTCCAGCAGCCAACCAAGATGGCCAGGTACGGGATTCGGTGAGGGCTCAGGCCCCCAAATAGTTTTTTAAAGCTTCAATTTGGCCTTGGAAATTCCTACAAAAGGAAGCGTTCTTTTCTCACTCGTGTAAACAATAGGACAGACCAATTTAATGTGGAACTTCTTCAAAGCATGCTGGTGTCAAACTATCCAAAGAAGGCATCTCAAGCTTATAACCAAAGCTGTTCTTCAGCCACTGTCAACTACCACCTTCCCTCCCTGCAAACAGTCTCAGCAACCAAATCCTTTCCGTGGGGCGTGATAAATGTCTCCCTGCAACACCACCATTTCCATGCGCGCAAAGATGACATTTCAATCCCCCTCTTCTCTCACCCCTCAGAAAGGTCACTGAACGCGTCTTTTACCCGCTCATCTGATGCTGCAGAGAGAGCCAGCTTCTCACTCGGCCGTCCTAGAAAAACGAAAATGGCACCCGTTACAAAGGGCGGAGGAGAGAACCCTGCAGAGCAGTGACCTTTCCATGCAGAGGTCCTCGGCCATCAGAGATGAAAAGGTCTCGGCCTTCTCTGACCACAGCCTGCTTCTTTCTGAAAAGGAGGGGGTCTCTGGACTAAAAGGGGTGAAGAACCAATGAACAGGGCAGAAACTAAAAACACGCAAGGGAAGCACTCTATAAAGCAGACATGGGAGCATTTATCTCCTAGTGTTTAGACAGCTGCCGCCTCCTCTCCTCTGGACCCAGAAGAGTCCGTTGCCAGGAGGGGAAGGCCAAGAGTCCCGGAGATGTAGGCTCAGTGCCAGCACCCCAGATGGGAGACTCTTTAGCTTGAGCTTGAACACATCGGCTCCTGTGGGGGAGCTGCTTACATCGCTGTCAGAAGCCGCTCTCTTACCTGGGCTACCCGACTGGGGAGAGGCTGCTTGGAGCAGGTCCTCCTGCAAAGGGTCTTGCAAGGAAGGCAAACCTCGGCTCTCAGGAACCAGGTCTTCTGCACTGGATGCCGGCAAAGCAGTCACACCGTCTGCAGGCTGCTGGCCAGCCACTGCCCTAGCAGCATTGTGCTGGTGTTGCAGCGATGGAATGGCAGCCCCGGAGCTGTCGGATGCCACCCCGTTGCCCGTCACTTGCCGAGGAGTGTCCTTCTTCAGTTCCCACTGGACCGCCAGGGCACTGTCTACCAGCAAGGTGCTGCAGTCCGAATCCGTGCTCATGATGTAATTGTGGCCCTCTTCGCAGCCCCACACGGCTCTGATGATCCCGCAGTACTTGGACGACAAGACACTCTGCAGGCTTGGTGCCATCGGGCAGTTCTCCGCGTGGCTGTGGCTCCACCTTACCAGCTGGTGAAGGCACTGTGGGCTGGAGGTGATCAGGTCTGCAGGACACGGAGAGAAATGGCCTACTGTCAAGGCCACCCCATTCCAATTACGGTGGCAAAAACTCACCAAATGGTCCAGCCTCCCACCTAAACTTGAGGATAGCCTGCCATGTTCAGACTGGGCCTGCTGCAGCCGGAGGACTGGCCAACAGCTTCCTTCCCAGGGATGTGGACTTCCTTCCCAGGGATGTGGACTCGTGGACTTCAACTCCCAGAATTCCTGAGCCAGCATGCTGGCTCAGGAATTCTGGGAGTTGAAGTCCACAAGTCATAAAAGAGCCAAGGTTGCCTACCCCTGTCCTAGATCATTGAAAGTCAGTCAGCATGCTGCCTTCAAGCATCTGGGAAATCCTAAAGACCAGCGCAGATGCTTTAAGATGGCATGCTGAGTAAAATCCCTATGGGAGTTATTAGCTGCCTTAATACTCAAATTGTGGAGAAAATACATTCTGTTCCTCAGTTCATATCAGAAATTTATAACGGAGCTAGACAAAGGGTGGCCATGCAGATTCACTGTTGGCGTCCATCTGGAGCACAAGAATTGTGCTTGACCATCCTTGGCTGGCAGGCCTCCAGCCACAAGGGCATGCCAAGGAGAAGCACCCTTCAGCTCTGAGGTTGCAGGCAAACTCCACTGACAGGAATTCAGCCTCTCACCTACCCAGACAAGACGCCTCTCCTTCTCCAGCTGAAGCAGTGGGCAGTGAAGGCTGGGCTAGATTGTTCCTGCACAGAGAAGAGACAGCAGATGGATCAGAGCAAGAAGCTCTTGATTAAACGTGCTTCTTTACAAGCCACCAATAAGTACTGGGTTGTTTTGGCTGGCTTGTAAATCAGTAGGGCAGATAAGAAGGTACCTGTCCCTCAGGCGGGTGGCAGATACGGGCAACACAGAGACCATGAGTAGGGAAGGCTGCTCAACGTACTTTCCTCGTGGCTTGGGATGTTCCGCAGGTGAGACGTTCACCTTCTGGATGAAAGCCTTCAGGATGCTGCGGCACTTGTAGAACTGGGCGTGGCACTTTTTGCAAACAAACGGGGGAAGAGAGGGGTCCTGCTGGACGGTCACCCCCACCAGCCGCTGGAAGTCTGTGAAGAAGACTTGGTCCAAGCGCCGCTGCTTCTCTGAGTCCTCGCTCACCATGGGGACCTTCCCAAAGGCATTTCGCAGGCTCCGCGAGGAGAACTTCCCGTGGCAAAGCCGGCAGAAGCCCGTGGTCAAAGCCCGGGGGATTCCTGCAGGGATTGTGAGAGAGGAGTTGGTCTGGCCCCTCGACCCAGAGAGGCTCCTTGCACCGAAGGTCATCCTCTTCCCAACCAAGGAAGAGGACCTCCTGGTCCTTTAAAAGAAGACCTGGAGTTTAGTGGAATCTGCACGTTTCTGTTTTTCAATAGCCTCCCCCCCAATTTCCCTCACGCAAAAGGCCCCTGTCTCTGGAAACAAAGCAGTCTGGACCCTGATGGGAGCAGGCGTTTAAGGCGCTGGCTATGCGAAGGGTACAACTTGCAAGGTTTTATTCTTGGATGCAGATCTGCATTCTAAGCGCAGATCCGGTCTTCAGCTCAGGAAGTGCAATTTCCCAGCCACTCACTTTGGCACCCCAAGCAGGAACCAGTTTTGCCAAAATCCAAGAGGAGAAATCTGAGCTCGCCTTGATACAAAATAGCACGTTCTGCCTCTGGAGCAGAATCCGGCCTGTTGCGTTGCATTTCCGGGCGTGGATCGGAGAGCGAAGGCCTTTCAGAGCAGGAACGGCTTCTCGGCCTTACCGAGCTCGGCGGAGGAAGCGGGGGGCGGGGGCATTTACCCGGCGAGTCCCGCGTCCAGAAGCGGCTTGGGGATCCTGCAGGCATCCCGGCCACGTAAAGGTGCCCAAATCCCCGGAACGCTCGCAACTCGAGCCGCTCCGCCCGCCCGCCCACCGCATCTGGGCCTGCCGGGCACCGTCCGCCCCGAACCAAGCGGCGGGGAGGCTTCGGGGCGGCGCTCGGGACTGGCCTCGCCAGCTCCTCCGCCCGCGCCTCCCGACCGCCAAGCTCTGGGTCCCCCTCGCTCCTGCCAGCGCCGGCGCGGCTCGGAGCCGGTGAAGCTGGCCGGCCGAGGAAAGCGCCCTTCTGGCGCCCGCCGCCCTGGCAAAGCCCAAGCGGGAGCAGGCGGGGGCCGCGCGGGGCCCTCCGGTGGCCTCCCCGGTTCCAGGGCCCGCCCACCACCGGCGCCGCTCAAGGGGGGCGCGGCGGCCCTCCGCAGGCGGAGTTCTCGGGATCTGCTCACCCGGCACGGCCGCTGCGGCTGCGGCTTCAGCGGCCGGCGAGGCCCAGCGCTTGGGCTCCGGCGCGGTCTTCTCCTCCCGGGCGGCGGCGGCGGCGCGTCCGCGGCGCGTTCGGCTCACGGAGTCTGGCCTGCCTGTCTCGGCCGGCGGCGGCTCTGACCCGATCCTGGCCGCCAAAGCTACGGGCAAGAACCGCCCACGCCGGTCCCGCTTCATGGCGGCGCTGACGGAGCCCGCACCGGCCGCCGCTCGGAGCTCCGGCGCCGGTCCCCCTCCCGTGGCTGGCCCGGCCCGCAGCGCCCCTGGCGGACGGAGGAGCCCGCCCGGCCGGCCGCGCCAGCAGCAGCCCCGCCCGCGGCCTCGACCCTGAGCCGCGCCCCCGAGCCCCGCCGGGCAGTCCCCGGGGAGGGCGGACAAGCCAGGCGCCCTCCTGAAGGAGGCGCTCGGAGGACCGGCCCGCTACGAAACCCCCAAGCAGCGCCTCCCGCGAGCCCGAAGACGGGGCTCCAAGGCCGCCGACCCTCTTGGCTGCCGGCCGGCCCGCTGCCCCTCGCCGCCTGAAATCCCCGCCAGCCGGGGTGGGTGCCCCGGAGCGCTTCCGGGCGGGACAGGCTACTCGACCCCGGGATTGATGGCCCGGTGCCGATGCCCACGCCGCCCTCCGCTCGCGTTTGCTCAGTCGGGATCTGGGGACTCGCCAGGCCGGCTGAGGGCACACAAAAGGCCGCGGGGAGACCGGGGCGGCTCGGGAGACGAGGCGCTGCGAAGAAGCCCTTGTCTCCCGCAGGCCCGGGCGGGGGGCGCTACCCTGAGCTGGAGGGGCTGCGGAGCCCAGGCGGGCCTTCCTGCCATGCGCGGAGCGACCCCCGCCCCGCCCAGAGACGGGGCAGCCGCTCCGGGGCCGCCGAGCCGCCGCTCCGGGCGCGGCCGGTCACGAGCGAGGGGCGCTCCTCCCCCGGGTGGTCGGGCGCCCTGCCCCCCCCCGGCGCCTGCGGAGCAATGGTGGAGCCGGGCCGGCGGCAGCCGCGCCCCTTCTGACCTCACCGGCTCCGGCCCGCAGGTCCGCCCGGCCCCCAGTCCGGCCCCGTCCGAGTGGCCACCGTTCCTCGGCGGCGAAGTTCCGGCCCCGCCATGGCGGCCGCGCCCTCCGCCGCCGCAGAGCCGCCGGTGAAGCCGCTGCAGGGCGCCATGAAGCTGGCCAAGGCTGCCCTGGAGCTGGACGCCGGAGACCGGCCGCGGGTGAGCGGCGCGGGGGGGGCTCCTTCGCCGGTGTCGGAGCCGAGTCCGCGGGAATGCGTGCCGGAGCGGGCTCGTCCGCGCCGGAGGCCCTTCAGGAAAGGGCCTGGGGGCTGCTGGCGTTGCTCGGGCTGCCCCTCCCCTTGTTTCCCGGGAGGTGGCGGGGGAGCGTCCCAGATCTCTCCGCGACAGCGGCCAGGGGAGGCCAAGGGGTCTTTCAGCCCCTCTGCTGCTGTCCCTCCTCCCCCCGCCCGCTCGCCCTCCGCCTCAGGGGCCTTCGGTGTTTTGGCCCCGTTGCCTGGAGAGCTGAAACCTCCGCCTTCCGCGGCCGAAGGCGCCCGGGAGCCTCTCCTGCCCTGCCCAGATTCCTAACCCCCCACCACCACCACCGCCCATGAATCTGATCATGGATGAAGCTGAGATGCAAGCGTCCCTGGGCCAGGCTGGGGCCAAGCGGCAGCATCCCGCAGCCAAACTGCTGGGAAGCTCTTGCCTGCCGACACCCCCCCCCCTTCCCTTGGCTCCCCTCCCAGGAAGGGCCTGGCATTCTGCATTGGCCTCTTCAAGTTAATTCAGTTGGTCAACCAGGTCCAAGTTGGAGGGAGTGCCCATACACTAACCCACTTTTTGACCTCTTGTGGGGGGGGGGTGCAATGAAGCAAGCCTCCTGCAGCCTACAGGCTGTCCACCCAGGCCAGCCAGAAACTGGTGTGGTCCTAAGGATAGGGCTGTCTTTTCACCCCCCTGAACTGTTCTCCTCGGCAGGAAGCCTACGTGGAATATCTAAAGAGCATCAGCTACATCGCCCAGGTCCTCCTGGAAGAGGCGGCAGCCACGACTGGTAACCCCCGCTTTTCCCACCCCTCCCTAACCTGGGACTTTCCGAAAGAGATGGGCTTGGTTGCAGCCCACCTTTTCTTTAGGGAAACTTCAGAGTTGGTGTCTTTAGCATAATAAAATAGAAAGCATGTAAACCCCACTTCCGAGTAGGGGCATTTTGACAAGATGTAACCTTGAGAAATAAGTTAAATAATCCCAAGATCATTTTCTTTGGAGCTGCAGTGCTTGGCCCTTCCCTTCTCAAGACCCTCACCTGATCACCCACCACTCCTGGTCTCCTGGATGATGAAGCTGCTTCAAGAAAGGATGTTGTGCGGGTCAGGTCTTGTGAGGATGACAGGACCAAAGCCATCCATTCTGAGCGGGGAATCCTGGCAGTGGAAGTCTACATGCCTTTTAAAGCCCTTAGTTGAGAAACTCTGCGTCTCCTGTTCTTGGGGAAGGAATGGTTGGCAAAAATGGCTTTTCCTGGAGCTGGGCAATCCCACTGGGGAGGGGTCCTAGAGTGGCTAAGTCCTGCCAGGCGGAGGGGACAGAGGGTTGGCACTGAGCTCTCCTGGAGGTCTTTTTGAGGTGGGTTTTGCATCCCCTTGTAATTGGACAGACACAATCACACATTCCTTGTCCCGAAGGGGATGAAAATGACCTGGCGCCTGACACCCCCAAGATGCTCAAGGTAGCGGAGCAGTGCCTGGAAAGAGCCAAGAGCAGCGCTTCTAAAATAGGTGAGCTCTGTTTGTTGTATAGGCAGCCCCCTCCTCTCACCAAGCAGAACAAAAGAAGGGGGTCTGCCTTGCTTCAATGGGACCTGGTCCAAAGATGGTTCAGGTGGGAAAGCGACCATTTGTCTCACTGCTTAGCAGGGCTTGCTCTCTAAGGGGTGATTTTAAAATAAAGTTTTCGCTAAGTCAGGGTCTCCAAACTTGGCAACTTTAAGACATGTGGACTTCAACTCCCAGAATTCTGGAATTGAAGAGCCCAAGTCTTAAAAGTTGCCAAGTTTGGAGACTGCCGCTTTAAGTTGCCACGCACTCTCGTTGGCTACCCAAGTCCTTCCAGTCCTTTCCTTGGCAATGGTATGGAAATGGTGCTTGATTGCCTTCCTCCAGGGAGATTTTTCAGTTTCCCAGACTAGCCTAATGTCCTTCCAGCGTCTGACCCAACTTAGCTTCTCAAGATTGGTCTGATCGGCCTAGAATACACCCAGTGTTGATTGTTGTTTTTTAATTGGTCAGATATCTGATCTGTGTTATGCCGAAGCCCGTGGGCTGCCTCATAATTGGAATGTGTTCAGTGCTTTCATGCAAAGGCTGGGAGCTGGGTTTGCCCTCCGGCCCCAGTGTTTGTCTTCCTGGCTGTCTGGTTCGCAATCCTCTCCCTTGGACCCTGCTCTCTGGCCTGCTGCTTTGGCCTGTTTTGCCCCTCTGTGAGTCCTGAGGTGTTTGCTTTGACCATAACGGGGCTTTGTCTGTGTTTTTCTTATTTCCCCAATTCCAGGAAAGGCCAAGGCCAAGCTGGGGGGGAAAAAGGTGGGCCCTGCTCCGGTTTCCCGGCACCGCAGAGTCTCTTCTGATGAAGGCAGGAAGCTTTCGCCTTTTCTGCCTCCTGAGATGTTCCAAAAGCTGCAGATCACTCAAGAGCAGAGCCCCAGGAAGTAAGAGGGGGCTGGGAGGGGGGCTTTGGGTGCTGGGGGGCTGGAGCCCAGAGCCTGCTGCCTGGAGCTGGTCCAGGTGACAGAGCCCTCAAAGGAGCTGCTGCTGCTGCTCTCCTTCTGCAGCAGAGAACTCAGCCCGCTGGAAGAGGCGTCACTGCAAAACCAGAAGCTGAGAGCTACCTACGAGGCCCGGCTGGCCCGGCTGAACCCCAACCAAGCAGTGCAGAAGACCTCTCTGGCAAGTGGGGCCGGCTGGGACGATGATGGGCCTCTGAGGTCCCGTGTGAGCCAGACAATGTGGCCCACACATATTTTTTGGGGGGGGGAGGAGACTTCAGGAGCCCTCTTTGCCAAAGAAATGGAGGCTGAGATGAGGCTCTACTTCCCCTTTAAAACAAAGATTGGTTGGTTGGTTGCACGTTCCTTTCCCTCGTCCTCTGTTCAGTCCTGGGGACTGTGCTTTATTGCTAATTTTTGCTCAACAGACACTTTCTCTGCAACGTCAGATGATGGAGAATTTGGTGATTGCAAAAGCCCGGGAAGAGGCCGTATCCTTTCTAGCTCTTCTGTGGCAAAGGAAGGGAGAACTCCCCCAGGCTGAGCGGCAAACCCACAGGAGACTAGTCCATAGTCCTGGGATTCCATAGTGGTCTCCCATCCCAGATCCCCATCCTACTTCACTTTGGGTGGACCACGCCGGGGCGGCTAAGCTCCGCCTCCTCTGATTTCTCTTTGGCTGTCCCTGCAGCTGGCTGGTCCTTTGTCATTTCTCCCCACTTGAGCTGGACTGGCGCTGGCCCAACTGCCTTTGCTGTCTGGCCAGAGGCCCCAGGGTGGGGAATATCTGGGGAAGTTTGAAGCCTTGTTGAGGAGGACCTTGACTCTGCCCCCTCCCAGCTCCAGAGGAAGATGGAGGAGCATCGGTTGCGGCTGCAGGAAGCTGCCAACAGGCGAGTCAGCTGGGCCTGGGATGCTTGGCCCTCTTTCTCCACTCACAGGTGGGGAGGGCGGGGGCCCAACTGCTCCTCCGAGCCTGTGTTCTTCCACCCCTTAGGAGGTTCTCCAGTAATGCGGTGCTGACCCCAGAAGAGCAGGAGCAGCGGGCCATCTACGCGGCTATCCTGGAGTATGAGCAGGACCATGTAAGTAAGCAGGCTCCAGCGTGCTTCTTCATTCGAAAAGTCCCCAAGAAGGAGACTGGGAGGGTCTGAGAGAGATGAAAGGGGGGCTGTAGCTCAGTGTTCTCTGCTTTATCCCCCTCCCAGGACTGGCCGAGGATGTGGAAGGCCCAGCTGAAGGAGCATCCCAGTGATCTGTCCTTGGTGCCAAAGCTTCTCTCGCACCTGCTCAGGTAGGGAGGTGTGGAGCAGGAAGGTCTTTGCTTTCGAAGCCTCTGGTCTGCAAGGTACCTTCAGGCAAAATGCACAAACCCCCAGTGCGGGATGAGACCGAGGGGTGGTGGGGACCATAATTTCAAGAACTCCACTGGGTCCCTTCTCCCTTAGCGGACCTTTGAGTTGGCCTGGAGGGACAGAAGGACATTCAGCTGCTGGACTTTGCTGGAGCCTCTTTCAGACGAGGCGGGTTCCTCCTCTGTGTACAAGAGCGGTCCCTGCAGAGAGAGCAAGGGGGAAAGGGGGGGTCGTTCCTGCCGCCCCGTTTCCTGAGGGAGTGGACCCCAGCCAGGTTCGGTAACGGCTCCTTCCTTGATTCCAGCTTTGCAGATCATCCTGTCTGCCAGTTGCTGAAGAAGCTGCAGTGCTCGGTCTACAACCGCGTCTATCCTCTCATCAGCCAAAGCAGGACAGACGTCTCGCGCGGCTGGTCCCTCTCCTCCTCGCTGGATGCTGAGGCCTTCCTGCCATCGGCCACCGAGGGACGGCGGTTGCGCTCGTCCCAAAGCTTGCACTCCATGTTTTCTGTCCAGGAACACAACAAGTTGAACCTCCGTCATAGCATCTCTGGCACCCCCTTCATCGAGGACCAGAGCCTGTTGCTTCCCCCACAAGGAGGACGTGTGTCCCCCCCATCGGCTGACCGGGAGAGCTCCTTTGAGGACCTGGAGCAATTTTTGTCAGCCTCTGAAGCACGTCCAGCAGGGCCCCTGCAAAACCCTCTGGCTGGGAAGAAGGGCTCCCAACAGGAGGCCCTCAAGGCGGTCGTGAAGGACATTCACAACTCCATCGGTGAGGTCCCTGTGTAGGCGGCCTCAGTGGAACTGGTCTGCCTGGGGGTGGATCAAGCTTGCCGGCTGCTGCAGGCCAATCCATGGGAGTGGGGGCAGGTTGCACTTCTCCTTCCTAGACCCTCGCACTGATGGAGGTGGGCTGCTTCCTCTCTGCAGACAGACTGCTGTCCCTGATGCTGCTGGCTTTTGAAGGCCTCAACACAGCGGCCGCCAAGGATCAGTGCCTGGCGCGGCTGGAGGAAGCCTTCTTTGGCCCACTCTGGGGGCCCCTCTTGACTGTGTACAGGTGGGACTGGGCAGCCAGCAGCTGCCTGCCATCATGATTGGATGGTGCCGTTGAAAAGGGGGCAGTTGAGCTTGGGGGCTGCTGGGCAGGAAGAGGCAGAAAGCCCTCCCCCCGTCTTCTGGCAAGGAGCCCGGGCAAAGGAAAGGGAGGGAGCCTGCCCAGCAGGGTCTGCTCAGCTCCTCCCTTCTTCCTTCCTGCCCTCCAGGACTGTCTACGGGGCCCAGGAAGAGGCTCTGTCCAGGAGCATGGAGCTGCGCAGGAAGACCGCTCCGACTGAGATGGGCATCCCATCCAAGCTGCTGCCCAAGGGAGAAGGGCCTTCCCCATATGCTGCGGCCGTGCAGGAGCTGCTGCTCCTCCCTCTCAGCAGCTGCCCGCAGAGGAAGCTGGAGTGCATCGGTGAGGCCTGGTAGCAGCTGCAGCCCAAGGGGGCCAAACTGGGATAGGCTGGAATCCGGAGGGAGCCCAAGATTCACCCATTGGGGTTGGGGGGGCTCCCCACATTCGGTTCCAGGCAGCGCTTCAGCTGCTCTGAGAGCTTTCCCAGTTAGCCCGGCAACTTTTTCTGGCCTCATCCCCCCCAGACACGCTCGACTTTCTAATTGGGAGGGAAAGGCTAGCTGGTTTGGCTGGAGGATCAAGAGGTCGGAGTTTACCAGGGGCTGAGAACTCCCTGGAAATAGTGGGCTGCCTTCCCTGCTCTTTGGCCCGAAAGGCCGGGGAAGGGCTGCCCTAAGAAATGCTTGTGGGAATTGGGAGGGGGAAGGGAAGCGGCCCACTTTCCCTGTGCACAGAGCTGTGTGCCGTGTCCTCCTCATCCCCCCCCCTTCTGTCTTTTCAGTGCGGACTTTGCGCGTCATCTGTGAATGTGCGGAGGAATACTGTGGGAGCCGACTCCACCCGGCATCCGCTGCTATGTGAGTACTCGACTGCAGCGTCCAATCCGGATGGGATGCCTAGCTCTGAAGCCATCCCTGCCCCTCACTGGGCAGGCCCTGCCCTGAAAGCAGCACTGCTGCAGGAGTCCCTGGCACCACTGTCACCCGGCACTGCCGGCTGTGGAGCCAGGCTTGACTCGGTCTGCCCTCCCTTTGCAGCGGTGCAGACGACCTCTTGCCCATCCTCTCCTTTGTGGTCCTCCAGAGCAACTTGCCCCAGCTGGTCTCTGAGTGTGCCGCCCTGGAAGAGTTCATCCATGAAGGGTAGGCACGAGGCCCTTTTCAGGGCCCAGACAGAAGCCCCAGGCGGGAGGGGAGGCAGGCCGCTGTCCCTGCCCTGCAGTTGGGCTGCCCTGTCACCAGGCATATGACTCCGTTGCCCTCTGCCAGCAGTTGCTGCTCCTAATAGCACACTGCAAATATGTGACGGTGGGGTGGAAAAGGACTTTCCTGAGGGAGGAGAGGGACTCTGTGAGCAGGGGGGGGAGGACTGTTTTCTGTGGATCCCTTGAGCAACGCCTCCCTCCCCCGCCCCAGGACTGACCGGTTCCCTTTTTCTCCCAGGTACCTGATTGGGGAAGAGGGCTACTGCCTGACCTCCCTGCAGAGCGCCCTCTCCTACGTCCAGAGCCTGCAGGGGCCGGTGCTCCGGAAGTAACGGAGCTCCCAGTGGTGGGGGCTACCCCTCCCTCCTGCCTCGCTGCTCCTTGGGGATGCTTTTTGGAGGACTGCAAAGGGAAACTGACCAGCTGGACCAGGCACCCCTCCTAGGACTACTATTGCACAATATTTGGGAGGGGGTGCACGTAAACTTTGGTATCAGCCCAACATTGACTAGCATATGTCCTGCCCTGCAGGTCTTCTGGCACTGTGGCTTCTGTCCTGGTGTGTTGCAAGATGCTTAGCTGCCCCCCCCCCCATAACAGCTGAGCCTGCCTTTGCTTCTCTGCCTTGAGCATGAAAAAAAGGGGTGGGCTGCATCTCATTCCCCACATTACACTAAGAGTTGCTGTAGCCCCCCCCCCTTCTCTCAGTTGCAAGGCAAGCCAGCCATCCTGGCCACCTGGCAGCCTCTTCCTTGGGAGGGAAGGCCGGAGGCAGGGATGGGAGCCTGCTGACCTGGCGTGTCCCCTCTCTCCCCCTGCCCCGCATGGCCCCTTTCCTGTAGGGCAGCTGCTTCAACCTGTGGGCCTGCACAGCATGGGACCACTTTTTCCTTGCCTCTGTTGGGGGTTTTATGGAGTAAAGGGAAGGCTGGGGATGGGCCTGGCTGCCCATCCTTTCTTGCATTGCTCTTTGGGTTCGTCTGTGGTGCGTTGTCTACTGATGTAGAGGAGAGCTTGAGGGAGAAGACAGGAAGCAGGAAGGCTGAGTGGCTGGCAGGAATTCGCACAAGCCTCCGTGCCGCCAGCTTTGGGGGAACCAAATGGCAGCCATATGAGGGGGCAGGTGGGGAAGGCAGACGGAGCCCTCCTCCTGCAGAGTGCAGTTGGGCAGGGCCACGGGAGGGCCTGAGAGATCCCCACTGCATCCTAGGAAGCGGGCTCCCTTGAAATTCGGGCACCCTGCACCGTCTCCTGGGTGGGGGCCCTTTGGGTCCCTGCCTGACCGTCCACTGACTGGCGCTACCGTCTTTCCTTCACTCCTGAATGCTCTTTGGGAATAAAGCTTGACTTCTCCCCACTCGGCTGGCTGTGCTTCTTGGGGTGGTGGGTGGGCAGCTGTGCCCTGTCAGGCTTACCCTGGGAGGGGCATGGGGGGCAGTCATTTGGACTGCTCAGGAGCTGGTCCACTGCAACAGCGGCCCCTGCACAACCACCCGCGGGGCTTCCCCAGAGATGGGAGCTGGATGGAGCCACTCTGAGGGGGGGCTCAGCAGCCGAAGCAATCCCACCCCACAGACGGCTTCCCCCTCATCCTACAGCCGGGAGGGGGGGCAGAATCGGAACCCCCTTTGCAACCAGGCACGAAGCCCCGGGCGGGGTGCGACGCAGGGGCTCCGTGGCTGCTGCCCCCGGGACCACGTCCCAAGGCGCGCGGCGGCGTGACCGGCGGAGCCTCGGCCCCGAAGACTGGCCCTCGGCGGTGGCGGCGTTTGAAAGATCTCGCGCGGGTGGCAAAGGCGGGATGCCCCATTTCCGCAGTGAGGGTCCTCCTTGCGCCATCACCTCCCCTTGCGAGGCCGTCCGCGGCTTTGGGCGAATAAGTCCCTCCGGCTGGCCGCCTTTTTGCGTGCGAGAACCGGCCCGCCGCATTTGGAGACGCGACCTGGGCGGCTCCCCCTCCCCGTTCCAGGTCCGCCTCGCTCAGCCGGGAGGGCGGGGCCCCGCCGAGCGGAGCCGACCCTTCAACGGGCGCCTCCTTCCCGGGACACGCCCCGCCCCCAGGAGCGGCTGGGCCCACGAGTGCTGAAGGAGTTAATGCCCCCCGTGTGACGCAACCTCCTCCTGCGTGGGCGGGGCCGGAAGCCGCGGGGGCGCCGGAACGAGAGCAGCTGGGAGCGTCGAGCGGGCATCGGCAGGTGAGCGGCGGGGCGCGAGTTCGAATCCCAACTGGCGGACCCGCCCCAGCGGCGCTCTCGGGCAGCGCCCTCCCCCCCGCCGCGGCCCCCAACCCGAGGCCCCCGNCGGCCCGGCGCCCCGCGGCGCCCCTCTCCTCGCGCGCGCCCTCGGCCCATCGGGCAGGAGCCGGAGGGCGGCCCCGGAGGGCGCCTGCCCCGTCTGGGCATCTGCCGGGCGGGCGGAGGAAGAGGCCGGCCCGCCCCTGAGGGTGAGCGGCGGAGCTTCCCCACCGCCGGGGCAGAGAAGGGGCCCCACCCGTCCGGCTCTTGCGCCTGGCTCGGGTTGCCCCTCGGCCGGAGGCGGCGGCTCTCTCCTCCCAGGCCCCAGACCGGCCGGGGCGCATCCTGTCGGCCCCGCTGCCCTGGGCAGGTGGGCTGAGGCGTTTCCCCGCCGCAGGATGAAGCCCGGAGCGGGGCTGCAGGAGGAGTATCGCCGGTGCCTGGAGAGGGACTTCCGCCGGGGCCACGTCGGGGCCTGCAGCGATGCCTCCCTGAAGGAGCTGCTGTGGCATCACCTGCTGGAGGACCCGGAGCTTCACTGCAGCCTGGATGGGGAGGACACCTTGGCCACGCTGGCCACTGCCCTGCGGGGACACTTGCACCTGAAAGGGGCCCTCCAGGATCTGGGCAGGGCCTTTGAGGTGCTGGAGCTGGCCGCAGTCAATCTGTATTTCTTCCCGTGGCGCAAAGAGTTTGCCACTATTAAGGTGAATTCTGTTTTGGGATGGGGCAGGCAACAAAGGAGGGGGTTTGGAAGGGTCAGGGACTGATGGACACCTTTATTTGCAGACCTTCTCGGGGGTCTACGTCCACGTCCTTCAGGGGGTCCTGCCAGAAGCCGACCTTGCTCGGAGCTTCCGACGACTGGGTTACGTGCAGCAAGACCGTCTGCACCTGGTGAATTCCCGACTGCCGCCGGGTGCCAACTTGCTCTGTGCAGCCTGCTGCTTCTTTGCAGCCAGAGTGGAGTGCGAGATCCTGGCAAAAATTGTGGAAGAACTGGAGCCGCAGGTGGTGCCGCCTGATGAGCTGCTGAAGGTTCGAAAGGAGGCCAAGGGCAGCCTGGAGCGGTGTGTGGCCAAGCTGCAGAGCCTGACACGGTGGCCACGGAGCCGCGAGGCTCGCTCGGACCTGGCTGCCGGGCTTGATCTCTACCGCGAGAGCACCGAAGGGCACAGCTTCTACAGGGAGCCTGCTGGAAGCCGGCTCTGGGGCCAGGAAGCCGCCTCTCTCAGTGAGTGCGGCAGCCCCAGGCTCCTGAGGCGGAGCCCACAGCCGCCAGCAGAGTGCAGGAGCGAGCCCCCCTGGAGCCGGGAGTCTTCCTGTGGCAATGGGCTCCTGGGCTCCGAGGAGCCTGACCTGACCACCTCCTTCTCCTTCATCTCCTTGAGGCGGGAGCTCAGCAGGACTTCCGAGATGGACTTCCCTGCTCAGCTGGGGAGTTCGTTCTTATTCTCTGGCCTGGGGGGCTATGAGAGTTCCGAGCCCTCTTCGCAGGGGACAAGCTGCCCAGCCTCTCCTCCGTCCAGGCAACCCAGGAGCCTCCACCTCAGCCCAGCCAGCCTGCACAGCAGCACTCAGGGACTCAGCCCGGAGCCGGCTCACTATCAGATGCACTCCTGCCTGCTCCCGGGGGCCCTGCCCTGCTCCTGCTGCAACACTTGCCGGTTGCTGCACGTCAGCAGCTGCGACGGGGTTCAACTCTGCCGGAACCACCACCACCTCGTGGAAGAGCTGCAGAGCGAGAAGCAGCAGCGCCTGTGGCTGCAACGAACAGAGGTGGACAGGCTGCTGCAGGAGGGAGGAGGGCCCTGGCAGTAGGATTGGGACACCCGGCTGGGCTTTGGAACACAGAGCCCCACAGCCTGCGAGGCCTTTGAGGATCGTGCCCCCCAAGTCTGCTTCCCTCCTCTGGCCTGTGGCAGGGCAGAGTCAAAAGCAAGCCCCCCCCCCCCTTTTAACAGATCAGACCTTGTTGATGGAGGATTGAAGGGAAGGAGACAGGATGGCTATGTCCAGGTTTGATTAAGGACAAGTCCAATGCCTGTGAAGTCTGGAGGTGGCAGGTGGGGAGCAGACCTCAGGCCAGGAACCCTGATTTCTAGGATTGGATTTCTGTAGGCACGTCTTTTCTGTGAAGCCCTTTTGGACATTCCAAAATTTGGCCACTCTCCTTCGCCCATTCTGGGATCTGTGTGGCCGGAGGCTGCTCTGGTTTGTTCTGTGAACTCCTGCATAGGGAAGAGGCCAGAGAAGAACCTCCTGCTCAAGCAGCAAGCTAGGCGGGAACTGCTGGCAGCATTTTTACAAAACCAGAATGGACCCTGTGGTAGTGGCGACTTTGCTGATATCTTACGAAAGATGCAATTGTAATAAACTTAACTAAAAGCTACCTGATTTTCTAGATATCTGGACCCCTTCCCGTTGTCTACTTTTCTCGGCTCCAGGGCTGGAAGGCCCTTCCTCTGTTCAGCTGGCCAAGAGCTTCCGGCCCCTCCCGAAGAGGCTCACTTGGACCTGCCTAAGCATCACAACAGGAATAGCTATTCCCGCCCCCCTCCGGCCAACTGTCCTGGAAAGCAGCAGAGACCAGGCTCTTGGGCCCAAGGCCAAGGGAAGAGCAGCAGCCGGTTCTCTGGTGATGGCTGCAGGGGTCACCTCCTGTTTCCAGAGTGAGCTCAGGCACCATTTTGGGGGGCCCTGGCAAAATTCCCTCTGGCAGATGGGCTCAGGGAGAGCAAAGCTCCTTACTGCTGCCTCTGGGCATGAGAGGCGGGTGGCTTCCGTTTCTAAGTTGCAGAGTTGCCAGAGTTTCATCCTCGGAAGCAGAAAGGTGAATCTCTTCCACCCCCAAGTAATCTATTTACAGCCTAGAAGCAGAGAGGAAGCAGGCAGCTGGAGCAGCGCCCTATGCAGCCGGTGCGCAGAGTGTGGCAAGGGCAAAGCAGCATCTGGAGATGGAGCTGCTGGGGCTTGGCACAGCCTCCCATCTCCCACAGGAGCCACTTGGGGCCTGGGCATCTCTTATACCCCTACTGACAAGGCATCCAGAAGTCCTCAGGCTGGTAGAAAAGTCTTTATTGAAACGAGGGGCCTTCTTCCAAAGTGGTCAGGGAGCCGAGCCAGGGCGAGAAGCAGCTCCTTGGGAGGCCCCCACTCCAAGCCTAGGAGGCATCCTGAGGTCTGCCAGGGGGAGGGGGGGCGCTGGTGGTTTCCACGTGCCCTTTAACTTGCAGCAGTTTCAGAAACGTTGCAGGCCTGGAGGTTTTCTCCTCTCTTCACTGCTGGAGCAGGAATGCTTTGCTTGTTCTTTCAACATCCAGAGCAGCTGCTTGTTTTTGATAGAGCTGAGAGAAGAAAAGGATCTGGTTGCTCCTGGGAGGTTCAGGCTGAGCTGCAACCTTTAGCCACAGGGCGGAGGGACCGAGGATCCCCTCCAGGGCACAGAGGAGGAGGGGGTGGTGCTTTGCTGCTGACGCAAGTCTCCATGAAAGGCAAGAGGGTCCTGGACACACAGCCATTTTCCTCCACCCAGGGCCTGCATCGCTGGCCCATCTCCAGCCCCTGAAAAGCGCTTTGCAGAAAACAAGCATGGGTGAAAGAAGGCAGTGACAGGAGAACTGATTGCAGATGTGGCAGACAGACACACACCCCTCTTCAAAAAGACATTCCCAGTTCTTTTGGTCTTGTGAAAGGGGAGGAAACAAAATGGGCCGTTTAAGGAAATGCAGAATCTATACGCAGATTTAACCGAGAATAGATAACTAAAATGTACATTTTATCTAGTTTTTTAAGGGAGCAACTGGCCCTGATTTGACCTACTTTTGATGTTTGTGTTGGCATCCCTGAAAATACCATGTGCGAAGACCCACCTGTTCTTTTATGAGCCTGCCCTACCTTTTAGATGCCCTCCAAGCCACCATCTCAGGGTCTGCTACGTTTGCCCAGGCACTCCCCTCCCGTGCTCGGGGCAGCCCTCTTGTTGCGATGATGGGGGAAAGTTGGCATCAGCTCCGGTTCGCAGGCTGGAAGGGAAAAGAGGGCTCAGGCCCTGGAGAAGGAGGGGGCCCTGCCCTGCAGGAAGGGGGCTCAGAGGCCACTTACGCCATGGCTTTTCCTTGAAGTAAGAGCTCTCCAAGCAGTCTCCGGCTGTTGCTCTGTGAAGGAAATGTGGCAGTGAGGGATCTCTCCCTCCTGGCCCTCCTTGCCAAGCCTGACCTGCAGCCACTCTGCTGCCCCCTCCCTGGAAGGCCTAAGCCGAATAGCCCCATTCTGAGGAACCAACATCTTCCCTGTGGGGCAGCCCCTGTGAAATCGGGGGGGGGGGTGTCCGTCAAAGTGGGCAGATTTTCAGCTTAACTGGACAGCTGGTAGTCTGCTGGGGGGGCAGAGTGGCTCCCCCCAAAAGGATTCAGGGCAGGCAAGGCCACTTACCTTTTCTTGGGATCGAACATGAAGAGCAAGTTCAGGAGCCGAAGTCCGGCCTCGGACAGCCAGGCAAACTTGTGCTTCAGGTTGTTGTAGGGCTGCTTGCGGAGGGTGTATTGGCTCACCAGGGGCAGCTTGGAGAAGCCCTGGAAAAGGGGCGGGGGACACACCCAGAAGCGAATCTTTGGCTGCTGCCTATCTGGATTGGCCACTTTAAGAGGCATGGACTTCAACTCCCAGAATTCCTCAGCCCGCATGCTAAGGCAAGCCAAACAAACTGTGATGTGGGAATTGTTTTCATTGTGAACACCAGAGCAAAGACGGTGCACAAAGGAAGGAAGAGCAGCGGATGGAAAGGACTCACAGGCCAGATGGTCTCGTTTGGAGTGCCCAGCAGACGCACAATCAGGTCAACCTGCTGTATCTCAGAGCTCCCAGGCAGCAGAGGCTTATGGGCCAGCAATTCCGCCAAGATGCAGCCCACCGCCCTACAGGGCAGAGGCGGGGTTAGTGTCGAGACCCTCACCCAGCAGCCCTCCTGGGCACACTCCGCTTCGCTCTTCAGACTCCTGCAATGCAGCCCTGCAGAAAAGCGTTCAGCTCACCTCCCCCTCAGCCACAGCCCACCCAGCGCTCGGAGAGGTTGGGGGTCTTTTTTCCTCACCACATATCGATGGCTGTGGTCTGTGTGGTCGTGCCTAGGAGGAGCTCAGGAGCCCGGTACCTACAAGGGGAAGGAAAGAGTGAGGGCACTCCGGACAGGAGGGTTTTCAGAGCCACCCAATGCCCAGCCTGCTTGTATCGGAAGGGGGCCAGCGGTGCTCCTGGGGAAAGGGGTCGAACCAGCTCACCACAGTGTCACCACTTTTGGAGTCATCGGATTCAGGGGAACCCTGTAAGCACGAGCCAGCCCAAAGTCCGCTGCAGGAGAAGACGGCACAGAGAGGTCAGGGGACTTGCTGTTTTATACCTCCAGCAACTGAATTGAGCATGTGGTACTTGCAGTGCTGTCGCCAAAGACTCACCTGTCTTCACGCAACCTTTGTCGGTCATGAGTAAGTTGGACACCTTGAGGTCCCTGTTAGTTGACAAAACACAGGTATGTAGAAGGCGGGGGGGGGCTGGGCATGTCGAGTTCAGGCCACCAGTGCTAGCACCGCTCCCTGCTCCTGCTTGGCCCATCCTTGCCCTTCTCACCTGTGGATGATGAAGTTGTTGTGCAGGTACTGAAGGCCATGGAGAACCTGGAGAATGATGCACTTCACCTGTAGGGAGGCGGGCAAACAAAGGAATATCAATAGAGGGCCTCTGACCTACCTGTCCTGTGCTGGATGCTAGCAGGAGCAGCTTTTGTTAAGAAACTGCACATGCATCACACACATTGTGCCGGTCACCCTGTCCCACACCAGGCAAACCATGTTTGGGAATGTGTGAACAAATTAGGCCCATTCAGACAAAGCAGATCGCATGTCAATGTGCCAGGCTGTGTCTTGACACCACCCTTTCCCCAAAGGTTCCTCTGCACTGTAGACTTTGGAGCATCAAGTGAAGTTTTAAAATGCGCTTTTCAGATGCTTGCCCCACTGTTGTTTTTGTTGGATTTATTCTGTCATTTTCTTGTATTTTATCTCCATTTTGAAAGCTCTGGCTCTTGCCAGTGTACCAGGCAATGCCCTCTGTTAATACCTTGCATACACTGGAACATGCACCTCCCTGCCATATTGGCCCAGTTCTAAAAGTTGGGACAGCTACAGGCAGTCCTTGACTTACAACAGTTCATTTAGTGTCCATTCAAAGTTACAATGGCACTGAAAAATGTGACTTATGACTGTTTTTCACATTTACGACCATTGCAGCACCTCTATAGTCATCTGATCAAAATTTGGATTAGCTTGCCGACTGGTTCATATTTATTAAAATTGCAGTGTCCCAGAGGGGCCGCAGGATCCCCTTTTGTGACCTTGACAGGCAAAATCCGCGGGGAAGCCAAGTTCACTTAAAAGCTGGGTTACTAACTTAACAGCTGCAGTGATTCACTTAACAATTGTGGGAAGAAAGTTTGTAAAATGGGGCAAAACTCACTTAACAAATGTCTCACTTAGCAACATAAATTTTGGGCTCACTTGTGGTTGTAAGTAGAGGACTACCTGTATTTGGGATGAAAGCCATTCCCCCAACCATCTGGCCTCTCCTCCAGTGTGGCACCACCACCACAAAGCACAACCGCTGCACCCTCCCCACGGACACACCTGGGCTTCCGAGAAGGGAGCCTGCATGTTTTCGAGGAGGCTGGCCAGGTCCTGCTCACAGTAGCCCATCACCAAGAAAATGCTGCAAGGGGAATTGAGGCAGGCATGACTCTTGCAGCAGCCAGGAGAGGAACCCTGCTCCAAGAGCCCCAAGGACAGGCAGGATGCTTCCCTTTGCTTCTTCCTCTGCTTAAAGAGGGAAGGAGAATCCACTCCTCCCCCCCCAGCTGCTCCCACCTCCACTCCGCACTTTCTGCAATGTTTGCACTTTTCCCCCATCAGGTGGGCCTGCTGTCCTCCCAGCCCAGGGCAGAGAGCGCCAACTCCTGGCTGGGTAAGAGGGCAGCAAGGAGACTCTTTGCCCATCTGCCCAGGGAATTACCTCTCCAGGTGATTGCCGACCACCACTTCCTTCAGCTCCACAATGTTGGGGTGTTGGAGCTTCAGCAGCAGGGTGATTTCTCGCAGGCTGCTGATGGGGATCCCTGCGGGGGAGAGGATCCAGCTAAGATGGGTGCTGCTGGGGCTACTCCCCGGGCCAAGCCTGCGAGGAGCCCGCTCTGCTCACCATCTTTTTCTTTGTCCATCCGCACTTTCTTCAGAGCCACAATCTCGCCCGTCTGTGTATCTCGGGCACGATCTGAAACAGCAAGACAGCCAAGGTTCCCAGGAAGCCCCGACCCTCTCCTCCACGGAGCGCATTTCACAAAGGAACGACTCTGACCCCCCCACCCTCGCAGAAGCTGCCTATCATTTAGGTGGCTCTGCCAGCCTCATCCCGTCTCTTGGAGCTGGTCTGCTTCACAGAGATTTGGGCTCCCGGGTAACATCCCAAGCCAGTAAGTGCTCTTTCCCTGGAGAAGCGGGGGGGGGGGGGATTCTGAAGCCTGTCCAGGCCCAACCTGGGTCGCCCAGGGAGCCAGGCGGGCACTGCCCCGAACACTTCCCAGCCCGGCGGGCAGATCCCCAGGCCGGACTCACACACGATGCCGTAGGTCCCTTCCCCGATCCGGTTGAGCTTCTCAAACTCCTTGACGCTGCGGCATCTTCCCAGCTGAAAGGAGAGCCGGTGAGAAGCGGTTTCTGCTGCCCGGGTAGGGCGGGGCGGGGGGGTCCGGGGCTAGGGAAGCAGCCGGTGGGGGGGCAAGGGGGGCAGCTCTGTCCCATATGCAGGCTGACCGAGCCGGCGCCCGGCAGGTGAGGGCGGGCTCCATATGCCCGCCCGACCGGGCGCGGGGAAGGAGGGCTTAGCAGTGGAGCGCGAAGGGCGCGCGGGCAGTCGGGGTCCGCTCACCCGGTGTGCAGCTGGCACCGCGAAGAAGCCGCCGTGCAGCCGCTTCAGGCGCAGAGGCTCCGGCTCCTGCTCCGCCATGCTCTTCCCTTTGTCCCGCCTGCTTCCGCACAGGCCGAGCAAGGCTGCTGGCTCGCCCCTGCCTGGCCCCGCCTGCCAGCCGGGAGGAGTCGCTCCGTTCCCCGCAGCTGACACGCCACCCGCCTCTCCAAAACGGGGCGATTGGGAACTGGGCAGCCGTTGCCCTGGGCAGTTGGACTGGGAAGGCTTCTCCCACCATTCCTCCATCCCAGCTCCCTGATGGAGCAGCCTTGGATGGGAACGCACATGCCAAGAAGCCCCTTACCCACTTTAGGAAGTAAAGAAATTCTAAAAGTAGGACTGCCCCTGAAATTATATTCACAATATTAATTTGCCCATGCAGATACATATCTGTTAGTGACTGGAATTATTATGGCATTTAACACATACGCCTATTTGGAAGAGAAGTTACAGCTCCCTCATTTACACCTACCTAAGCTTTGCCATTCCTCATCTCCCACCTCCACATGTGGCCATGGAGGTGGATTTCCATTTATTGAGGGGGGCTCTGGGGCTCGACTGCCAGTCTCCTGACTGTCTTCAGCACTCACTGGTCTTTGCTCTTCCAACAAGCAGCCACTGTGCTGGGCCTGGAGTGCATAGCGAACAAGACTGCTGGATGGTCCTGGTGTTAGGGAGCTCATCAGAAGGCCCAGGGATGAACTCAGGGATAACACTTTCGCCCTTTTCTTCTTGGCAATTTTAAGGAGGAAATATAAAAATGCTTCTTACTACTGATGGTCAATAGAAGGCTGGGAGAGCAAGAGAGAAGGCAGGCTCCATTTTCTAACAGGGAAGTGCTAAAGCTGCATGGAGTTCTTGCATTCTGTTGGGAGAATTTCCTGGGTTCCTTTCTCTGAGGAAAGAAGATGCAAAAAGCAGCTCCTTGGGAATAAGATTCTTTATTTTATTTGGGTGAGAAACTATGCAAAGCTTGTTTCTGAAACAGCTGACAGCAGACTGGCACATCAGCAAGGTTTGTATACATTTTTTAGCCTTTGAGGTGAGTGAAATATGTTTTTGTGACCATGGGAAAGCAGGAAATATTGTTTTGATGGTTAGAAGAAATATTCTGTTTGTTATCTTCTTTATCAAGCAGAGATCTTCCTGGCCAGGCAGAGATGCTAAATTCCAGGGCCTTTTCCAGTTTCCTGTCAGTGATCTATTGCTTTTAAGGAAACATTGTATTTTATAACTGGAAACGGCTTTCTCTGACTCCAGATTAGAAGGCTGTTAAAAAGACTGGGTGGCTGGGCAGATCAAAGGCTTTTTAACTTCTATCGATTCCAGACAAAGCCCTCCTCTAATCATGATAGGACATCAAGAACTCCATAAAGTGAATAAAAGTGGAGACTTGGACAATTATTTTTGGTATTTTGAAGAGCAAGCTATGGTGGGTCTTGTGCCAGCCCTCTCCACTGATACTGCAAGTTTCCAAGGGATGAGCAATTTGCAAATGTGAGGCATTACGTGTATGGAAATGTCAGATGTCTTTCACATATCTGGAAATACAGAAAGTTGCAGCCTAATTCCTCATATAAAGAGTAATCATCATTACAATGTAAAGTGATGCATCAGAGGAATGTCCGAATAGAACACTGACGCAGGCTGAGATGTGTGACAGGGAATTCCAGGCACACAGAAGCAAACTCTGCCTCAGGTTAAGATACATCTGCAGGATGAACAGGTGCGCTGAGTGGCTGTGGAGCCCTAAAGATGCCTGGATGTAGATGATGGCGAAGAGATGCTGAATCTGCTCCTGGCAGATCCCAGGGAATCCTTATAGTTCCAGCCTTGACCCTGGGGAAAGATGCTTTGAACTGCGCTACAATTGACCTTATTAACCGCCCGAGAATTTATAACAGCGCCCTTTTAATAAAATAAAATAAAATAAAATCAAGACGGAGGCGGGCTCTACACTGCAACATCCGGGCTCTTCGTTGCCGCAGCAACCGCGGCCCCTTCCGAAACAGGCACGTGATCCTTTTGTTGCCCTCTCGTTTGGCAGGACGACGCCTGCGCACCCAAGGCCCCGCCTCAGTGAGGGACGGGCCTCTCCAGAGCGGAAGGAAGCCGGAAGTGAGTTTCTCCGGAACCCGGAAGTCCTGGCAAGGAAAGGCGGGCGAGGACTTCAGCCGGGATGGATGGTGAGGGGTCTCCTCCCGGGGCGCGGAAAGGGGCCGGGGTCTCGCCCATAAGGGGGGAGGGACAGGGAGGGAGGGGGGTGGGAATGCCACGTCCCGTCATCTCAGCTGCGGCTGACTGGCGGCCTCGGCCCGGGAAGGTGGTGAGCGATAGATGGGCGGAGGGGCTTCCTCGGGCCGCCCAGGGCGGGAGTGTTGAGGGGGGGCGAGGGGGAGGAAGGGGGTTCGCCCCGGGAGCCCCCTCCCTTCCTCGCGCCAAAGAGAAACCAGGAAGTGGCGAAGGGAGGCTGGGCGGTCGGGCGAAGAAAGAGGGCAGGCCGTGCGGCGTCGTGGTCGGGGCGTTAGACCGGCACCGGGCGACGCGGGTCTAGCCCGCCCTCAGCTCCGAAAGCCCCAGGGGTGACCCCGCACAGGCAGGAGGGGGGCTGGGCGGCCCAGCTGGAGCCCCGGTAGAAAAGGTGAGACGAGAGGCAAGCAGACAAAGACGCCCCCCTCCCCCCCCGAAACTGAATCAGAATGGAAAATAAGGTTTGAATTAGGCCGTGTAAGGTCCTCGGCCACCTTTGCTGCGACTGCTCATAAGCAACCAAAGGGATAAGCACCAAGGTATTGCAGAACTGAGAAATAGTAACGGATATAAAAAACATTAGGAACTAATTATTTACTTTCATATTCTTAGCCTCTAATAAAACATATCTACATACTCCACAGTTTTGTATCTGGATTTTTCAAATCTATGGAAATATTTTGTGGAGTGCACCAAATTTGGGCAGAAGGGATGTTGTGAATCAGTTTCCTAAAATCTGCCTTTCCTTTTGAAGATTCCCTTTATTCTTAAATCTTCCAACTACTTTCATTTTTCTCTTCACAGATACGCTCTTTCAGTTAAAGGTGAGTGCTCGTGCTATGAAAGGCACTTTCCTTAGAGCTTAAAATCAGAATTCTTGTAGCAAAATTAAGACAATCAACCCCTTTCACAATAAACACTCTGGTTAGGAAACACTCTCCTCCTTGGACAGAGAATGTCTGGTTTTTGTAGCAGAACAATTTCTAATCTGATTTTGTCAAGAAATCTGGGAATGGCTGCCTCTCTGATGCCACTTGGAGCTATAGCAGGATTAGCTGAGTAAGTAAATGGCCTCCTCTCTATCCATCATGCCTTCAGCACATATCCCCGACTTTTAAAACTTGATTGATTTTCTATGGGACCGTGACCTTCCTCTATTTCAGAGGAAGCAGGAACTGAGGCTGGGTGACTGCTCTTGCTGACAGGCCTGCTGAACATCTGCCTCTCTCTAGTTTACAGCCAAGCAGTTGGAGAAGCTTGCCAAGAAGGCAGAAAAGGACTCCAAAACAGAACAAGCCAAAGTCAAGAAGGTGAGGGGCCTGAAGTAACGGGTGGTGATAACTCTTGAAAAATGAGTTGTTTCTCTGTTGGGAAGGCTGAACTTTCTGCTGACTTCAAGCCTTTGGGCTGCTCCACTTTTGTTACCCATCAAGCTTCTAATCTTTTGAGTCTTTGGTGTTAAAGACCATCTGCAGGTCCTTCCTCCCTCTCTTTAGCTTGAGCATCTCTGCTCTGGATCTCCCATGTCTTTCTGAGCTTGAGGACCCTCCCTCTTTTTCCCTTCCATCCCCGTTTTTCTTCCTCATTTTTGAAGCAGTTGAAATTCTAGAATTTCTTCCCGTCAGTCTGCATCACTACTGAAATCTGATCCCTTTTCTTCCACTCTTGATTTTGTTTGGAGAAACTATGAAGCTGAGGGATGTTCCTTGTTTTGTATTCCAGGCCCTTCAGCAGAAGAATGTGGAATGCGCTCGGGTCTATGCAGAAAACGCCATCCGGAAGAAGAATGAAGGCTTGAACTGGCTGCGCATGGCTTCCCGTGTAGATGCCGTGGCCTCCAAGGTCCAGACAGCTGTGACTATGAAGGGAGTAAGGAGCTTTATTTTAATACGTGACCTTCCTTGCTCCCTTTGAGCAAGTAGAAGTTTTCTTTGTCTAAGGCTACAAAAGATCATCTGCACTAAACTGGTGTCTTCTAGATGTGGACATCTTCTATCATTCCTAACCAATTGAACTTCTTGGGGGGGGTGATACTATCTTGATATGTGAGAGATCACCGACTGGATTTCCTATTAGGCCGCTTGGCTTCCTCTTGCCCCATTTCCCCTTTGCCAGTTGGTCTTTATCCACCAGCAGCTCACGAGATTCCAGCATCCCAGATTCAGCCTGAACGTGACTTGATGGCCATGAGTTTCTTCCTGCCTCAGGGCTTCCATGACTAAAAGAGGATGAAACCATGCAGCCAGGGCTCCTTGGGAGATTCGCACTGACTGGCCAGTGCACGTTTTTCTGCTGGTCTTGATCTGGGCTGCTGTTTCCAGGGTCACATCGGCCCCTCCTCTTCAGGATTGGCCCTAGCTTGGTGTGGTTCCTCCAAGCAAATACGATTCCTGACTCTGTTGCAGGTAACCAAGAATATGGCCCAGGTGACCAAGGCCTTGGACAAAGCTCTCAGCTCCATGGATCTTCAGAAGGTTTCGGCTGTGATGGACAAGTTTGAGCAGCAGGTCCAGAATCTGGATGTCCACACTTCAGTAAGTGCTGCACAGGGTGCTGAGCTTCAGAGCTGGGCAGGTGGGAAACCACATTTTCAGAGTCTCCTGCCGGTGAACCTTCTCCTATTCTTCTTTAGCTTTTGCTGCCTTCTCTGCATGCGTGAGAAAGTGTTTGGGTATCTGGGGGAATTCCCCACTTGGCAGAAATTACTCCAGATCAAACAGGGGCACAGATGATGATCAAGCAGGCTTTGAAACACAATTAAAAGGAGTCCAGAGCTAAATCTGCTGGCTACGGCTTTGCTTGGCCATTGCCAGCCCCTGTTGCATTTCAGGCCAGTGGAGTGTGCAGCTCCGTATTCTACCTTGTGCCGGATGTTTTGCTGTTGAGCAGGAGGAAGCGCCCTCGTTTTCCATTCCCAAATTGCTTGAAAAAAGTGGCCGGATCATGCTTGATTTCTGGCTTGAAGAGAAGTTGAAGGAAGACAGTGGGAGGATGGTTTAACTTAGTGAGAGGGACATGTGGGTGAATTACTGGATCTCTGGAATACGATTTGTTCAGGGTGTCAGTTGTTCCCATCTTGGTTGCTGCTGCTTGCATTTGTCAGTCTGTCACAATGCTTCCGCCTTTGGTCCCCGCAGGTGATGGAGGACTCCATGAGCTCAGCCATGACCTTGACGACACCCCAGGAGCAGGTGGACAGCCTAATAGTGCAGATTGCTGAAGAGAATGGCCTGGAGATCATGGATCAGATGAACCAGCTGCCCGAAGGGGCCTCGGCCATGGGAGAGAGCTCTACACGTTCGCAGGAGGATCAGCTGTCACGGAGGTCAGTCTGCTTCCCTCCATCTGCCCACAGGATTGGACCTCTGGCTGGCTGCAGTCTGGCTGGCAGCTATTTCCAGCCCATAAATCTAGAGCCATGCAATTGAATGTGCTTAGCCCACATTACATGGAAGAATCGCACTGAAGAAGGCAAGTTGGGCCTGCTGAGGTTTGCTGCTGCTCAGGGGCTGTGTTGTCACCTTTCCTGCTTCTTGCCATGGTGCATCCTGGGAGATCCGCCTCGCTCAATGACGCCAGAGATGTAGCTGGCCCAGTCATGCACCTGGTGGTCGCGGCAGACTTATCAGCAGGGCCTTCCAGAAAAACTGCTTTGGGAACACGTCCATTATGATTGGCATTAGATATTAACCAGGCCATTGTGGCTTGGTCAGAAAACCAGAATTGAAAGAAATCCTGGCCAAACATTACACACATCTGCAGCCTGAGTTCATCCTTAATTAGCTGAAATTACATTGTGTGTTCACAAGAGGGAGGCAGATCAGAAGTATTAGAAGAAAAGGCTAAAGTTGAAAGGGAAGATCTCAAGACAGTCTAAGCCTGCTCAAGGCCATGGGATGCTCTTTGTTTAGAAACAATTCGACATCTAGAAATGTCATAGCTGGAATCTGTCTTCAATGGTCTTCTAGAAAGCCTGGAGGGCTGAGACCCGAATAGCTCTTTTTGGTAGCTCTTCTGAATTTTGCTTTTCCTGCATTAATGTTCTTCCTCTCACATTTTCAGGTTGGCTGCCTTACGGAATTAATTCTCCCGCACCCTCGCAGACAGTTGCTCCTGCCTTGTTCTCTTATGATTTGTGGGGTTTCTGCCTGGGGCCCTGGCCTTCCAGCCCTCTGACCAACCTCTTCAAGAGCCAGGGAGGCCTGTCCAGTCCTGCAGGCCTGCTGTACCCAGTGTGGACCTCCTCCTCATCCAGCAACAATAGCTACTTCTAAAGAAGCCATGGTGACAGCAAGGCTCTGTGTGAGCATGTCTGGTCGTTGGCAAAGGTCTCTCCTGGAATGGGTGCCCTGCCTTTCCCAACAGCTTCTCCTTCCAGTCTGCACTTCCCACTTTTCTCCTCCTCCTCCTCCTCTTTTTTGGCCTGTTGAGAGGAACCTGAGCATACAGCGCTTGCCACAGTGGGAGCACGGCTCTCGGGGGAGTTAGCTTTCCTAAGAGGGCCAGGAACAGCCCTGGTGCTGCATGCGTAGATTCCAGTGTGCTGATGGTTCCTCCTGAGGTCAGTTCCTGCCCCGTTCCCTTTTCCTTCTTATGGGGTGGAGTGGGGGGAACAGGCCACTTGCAAATTGGGAAGATGCTGCCAGGAAGATGGAGATGTCCCTTTTCCTAGCAGCTCTGGAACCTGCCTTGAATTTACACACCACAAAGTGACCTTTGAAAACAGTGGGCCTGCCGCCCCTTGGCCTTCATGCATGCGCCCCACCCTCCCCTCCCCACAGCTTGTCGTATGGGGGGTGAGGGGAATGTCTGCCTGGGTCTGGAGTAGCCCTTTCCTCCAAACATCCCAGCTTCAGGAGAGGATCCTCCTTTTGCCTGACTGGCGTTTGAGCTCCCCCCATTACTACGACTTAAAAGCATTGGGACATCCTTGTACAGAAAGGGTGTGTGTGTGTGTGTGTGTGTGTGTGTGTGTGTGTGTGTGTGTGTGTGTGTGTGTGTAAATGAGAGCCAAGCCCCTCCTCCCTTGAGAATTCAATTTTCCTGTACAAACCAGGCTTGGGGTGGCAAGCAAGTATTTCCCCTCCAGTGTTGGCATTAAGTGTATATTTCTCTTTTCCCCTCCTCAGTCGCTCAAGGCCGAGGCCTTCAGCTGCCTTGTCCTCTGAGCCAGGGAGGGCCAGAGATTATAATCATCTTCCCTGGAACATTTTTTACAGAGCAGTGAATTCTCCAGCACTAAGAAAAATTCTCTTTGCCTCTTTTTTTTTTTGTAAATGAAAAGTGAATGTTGTCAATTGTTTTAATGCTGGCTTAAATAAACAAACTCTGGGAAGCAGGAACTGTACTGCGGTTTGCAAAGCTGGATGGTTGATTGTGTCAGCTGGCACTCACAAACGGTTCCCCGAAGCAACTTTGTTGTTGGAGAGGCACAGAAGGAGCTGAGGCTGGCTTTCTACTTCGGGGGAGAAGGGGAGAGGGACTCCTGCAGGAATGCCAGCGGAGGGCTTCCTTCCCTCAAAAGGGATCTGTTTCCTGCGGAAGAGGCCCTGGGAGGGAGGAGGAGCTGCTTTGGACAGCCCTTCTGGAGGGCATGTGACACAAGCCCCCTGAGAGAGCCTGAGGTAGCATGGCAGGCCAGCTGAGTCGGCCAGTTTAGGAAATCAACTCCGCAGGAAGTTGGGTAAAATTACTTTTTATTGATATTAGCTGTAGTGACAGAGTCTTGCCAATTGGATTGCTTGGTATTTCCTAATACCCCAGTGAATCATGAAGGAGCCCTTTCTGGATCTGATCTCCTTTCTCGGGCAATTTCCAACAAGGTAGGTTTTTTTTAAAAAAAGTTTTCTATCCCAATTTCTTTTTCCATGTACAACTCAAGGTGGCAAACATACCTAATATTCCTTCCTCCTCTTTTTCCCCCAACAACAACCCTGCGTGGTAGGTTAGGCTGAGAGTGACTGGCCCAGAGTCACCCAATTAGCTTTCATGCCGACAGTGGGACGAGAACTCTCCGTCTCCCTTGGTTCTGGGCCAGCACCTTGATTCTCTTACTATAGTAATACAGGTTATAATTTAATGCAGGCAGTCCTCATTTAGCAATCACTGTTGGGATCAGCAACTCACATTATTAAGTAAAGCAATTGCTAGTAGGAAATGATGAGAACCTGACTGCACATTCTTTTTTGCCTCTCCCTATCCTTTGAACCCCACCCCACCCACCCCCACCCCGCCTGGCACAGCCTGCTCAAAGCTAATAAGACTAATCAGTTTCGCTCCTTTCCTTTGTTCACCTCCTAAGCACTCCACCCCAGCTAGATGATTCACAAGAAGGGGATTAACGCTTGTATTCACATTCACTGCAGGGGGGAGGGGTTTACAAGGAAGTAAATGAGCACACAATGGGGAATACATTGGGTTTTTTGCGTAGTGCACTCAGAACTGCTGGTGCCACTGTGTTGTTTTTTATTTATATTCCCCATTGTGTGCCTGCTTACTCTCTTGTCATCCCTTCTGCTATAATCTCTGTTCTTCACAAGGTGGGAAAAAAGAACCAGGCAAACCCAAGAAGTGGTACAATAAGTGGTACAATATGTTGCTCCCTATACTCCCCACCATACATGTCCAGCATTAAGCATGCTCCCAGTATCTGCAAAGCAAAAAAGGCAACTAGCAAGTACTTCGGAAAGTTCAAAGCAGGATTTTGCTTGCCTCTGATGTCCACATTAGGAACGAGCTGTGTTTGAGGCAGTAATGGTATTTTGGTAACTGGCCATAAATTAATGGAGGTAATAAGGGAGTATTCCAAGGTTTGGGCAAAATTTGGAATGTGATAGTAGTTGGATGTAAAAATCCTAACCCAGCAGGATCCACTCAGTCCACAAGGAAGGAGATCCTGGGGCTTCTATTAGATCAATGTGGAGAGCAATAGTAGCAAGAACATAGCCGGCAAAGCTCTTGGGTGGTGTCCTTGGTTGGGGTACCCATGGCGCGTTCGGCATCCTCCCTCCAGTTCCTGGAAGGCAATGGGTGTGTCATCGGGGGCAATTCCTTCACGAGCCATCTCTTTCTGCACCTAAGGAAGGAGAAGGGCTTGTTCAGGTTAGTTCATTAGATTTAGATTGGGTTCTATTCCATCATCCTATCTTCTCCGCAACAGTCCTCTCAGGTAGACTGGACTGGGGAAGAAAATGATGGGTTCCAAGACACCCACTGAGCTCCCATGGCTGGAGGTGAAACAGATTGTGGATCTTTGTGGTCCTGCTCTAACCCCATAACCCTTATAACACACTTCCATCTCTTGGCTGGGAAGAGGTTCTCCAAAGCCAAGCAGCTCAAATAGAACAGGAAAATGAGCACAAGGTGAAAATGAGAGATGCTGAGGAGAAGCTTTGGGCTTGGCCATTGCCAGCTTTAGAGCTGAGTTCTTCCATGCCCAAGCCTCCATTCCCCCACCTTCAGGTCTGAGAGGTCTCACCTGCTCCACTTCTTCTAGGACCCGCAAGAGGTTATTGGCCAGGGCATCCTTCACTTCCTCTTCTGTCCATTTCCTCCTCAACAGTTCGGCAATTAAGTCTGGGTATTTGGAGACATCCTCTAAGCCTTGAGGGACTCTGTAAGCCAAAGAACACCAAGGAAATTGCAAAAAATTAAGGGCAGGGTCCCATGTCTCCCGCCCCCACCCTTGCTTGCTCTCTCCTCATGCCAGGACTGATCTCTATGGTGCTGCAGCACCTCCAGGAGCCGGTCTGCACACACCTGCTTCTTAATCGGCCAGGTCTTGGTCAGCGTGCAATAAATCCTAAAGACTATGAGCGCCTTCCCTCTCAGGGTGCCTGTTCATTCAAGGTCATCACACATACATGCAATAGGGACGTGGTTCCTGCAGCCCTCCATTAAACTGCGAGTACCGTTCACGGCAGCTGCCTACAATCTTCAAGCAATGTTGTCACTCCAGTCTTGGGGCTTATGTTTGTCCCACTGCAGGCTGGCCCTCTTTCAAGTCTACCCTCACCCATCTGTCTCTCCTGCTGATACCTGGGTACCCCATCATAGTCTCCTCCAATGCCAACAGCCTTTGGTCCAGCAATGCGCTTTATATAGTCCATGTGGTCTGCAATGAGAAGGATGAGAGGCTGACCACTTTCTGTTGCCTCAGTTCTCCCTCCTGTGTCTCCTTATGTGCCATTCCTGCTCTGCTGGGCTTACCTGCTACCTGGGTCAGAGTGGCATGGCTGCTGCAGGAGATGTAGTCATTGTAGAAGTTGACCATTACAAGGCTGCGTGTCTCATTCTACAAGAAGAGGAGAGGGCGTCATTGAAGGGGCCACCCAGAAGCTGATACCCAGAAACACAGCAAGAGGCTCAATTTCTCTGCCACTTCTTGACCCTGCTGCACCCACTGATGTGCCCGCCTGATAGGTGGTGGGCTGGCCCTTTGAGGACCTGATGCGCCAAGGAAGGACACCGAGCAAAAGCTTCCCTCCTGACCTGACCTGATGCTGCTGGAAGCATGTGCCGCCGCATTCACTCACGCACACACACACACACAAGCACACACACACACACACAGCCCTGCTCACCACTTGGCGGAGCACATCATCTGGTACATTCCGTCTGCTTGGGCAGATTGCATAGGCCGAGGAGTGGCTGAATATCACGGGGGCCCTGGAGATCTTTAAGGCCGCCTTCATTGTCTCCACAGAAACATGGGACAAATCCACCATCATGCCCAGGCGGTTCATCTCATGGACCACACGCTATGGAGCAAAGAAATGGAGGGTCATTTGGACTGGAGAGAAAGGAGAGCTGCTGGTTCCACATTGGCATTGTGAATGTGTGAGAAGATGAACTTGGGAGACTCTGGGCTCAAGAGGAAAAGCCCCGAAAGCATTGCAGGCCTTGGGGCTGCCCCAAACTCTATTGCACATGCCCTCGTTTCCCATCAGTTGCCCCCAGCGAGGCACGTCCTTCCTATTTTTCTTCAAGCTTTGCTCATTCGTGGTGGTTACTTTTGCAACCCCCTTTTCAACAGGAGCGCAAAGCTCTTGTGGACCTGCTCTGCTTCAGGCCAATGACAAAGCCTCTTCTCCCCTTGGCAGATGAGATGCGCAGCTTGGGCAGCTGCGCACAGCCCCCTTCCCCCATTCAAATCCTTCTGCAGAGCCTTCACTGACCTTCCCAAATTCCGTCAAGCCATGGTGAACAGGCTGCCCTTCAGCTGTATCTACCAGCCAGTTATCAGCCCTGCCAAGGAAAGTGGATAGCAGATGAAGGAGCAAAGAATCCTGGCTCTGGGCCAAAGTTATATAAGTGCCGATAGATCCTTCCTTCCCTACACCCTCCTTCCATAAAATGTCTTTAGACGGATCTTCTCTCCTCCAAAATGGGATTCTATCACTGAAATGAATTGACCCCTGACCTTCGGCCCTCCCTACATGAATGCTTGCAAGGCTACACAACAGCCACGCACCGTCACTCTGCCCTGCTCAAGGGCCCCTATTCAAAAGCTTCAGGACCTCCCCGCTTACCAGGGAGTGTTGCAGCTGTGGGTGAGGGTCATGTAGCGCACGCCCAGCAGGTAGAAGGTGCGCAGGACGGCCAAGCTGCTGTCAATGGAGTGGCCCCCCTCCACGCCGATGAGGCTGGCCACGCGTTGAGTGCCCAAAGTCTCCCGGATGCCTGCAAGAGAAGGGTTTCCATCCAGTTTCCGGGGCCAGGTACAGGGTGACCAGTTGGGAACATGAGATGGCTTGAAGTCTACACCAGATTTCCACAGTTAAGGCTAACTTGCCCTTCCCCAGCCTGATCCAGGCTGTTTTGCATGTTGAATAATGGAGAGTTCTGGCAGAGGCAGAGTTCGTGCGTTGCACTAAACCAGGTAAGAGTTTGTTTCAACATTCATAGAATGTTGGCCTGGTTCACACATCAACTGTGGCTTGCTTAAGTGTTAGCATGTTGAATAGTGGCAAGTGAGGATCAAACTAGTGGATGCTGTTATTGTGTGAACCCAGGCATGATGCTTTGTAATCCATGGGTTACAGGTCGTATTTTGTGGTTTAATCAAAGAATCATAGTTTTTTTAAAAAATGCAAATCTACTCCAGTTTCTCGTGCCACAAGAATTTAAGATTTGGAGTGGAAAAGTTGACAAGGATGAAATTAGGCTGGTTTTGGCCCTGATTCCAGAGCAGTTGCTGATGGACACATCAGAAGCGTTCTCCTGCTTCTCCCTGGAAGCATCTTATTGTGAAGGGCCAATTGCTGATTTCCATAGGCCTGAGGCTGAGCTGGAGTGCTTGGATACCACTGGAATCGTCTAGAGCAGCCCCCCTACTCACCTGTTGCCTTTCTGATTTGTTGTGTGCCCTGTGCTGCCCCAGCCCTTAGCTAATTTGGTTGCCTTGCCTGCCACCTCCGTCTCCGGGAATCCTTTCTGAGATGGCCAAATCCAGAAAGCTGCTTCAGGAAGGTCACGCCCTGCACTGCGATTGTGGGACTTTCCTCTCAGGCTCTGCTGCACGTGAACCTTACAAAAATATTGGCCTCCTTACAGGTGACACTTTTCTTTGCCACCCACCTACCAAAGGATTGACACATGGTTGGCCCCCTCCTTGGCCAGCCAGGAGCAGCAACCAGCAGCATCAACTCTGCACTTACCTGCCCTGTCGGTAACACACTTGAAGGCATCTGGATATTGGTGGCACATCCGATGGATGACGTCAATCTGCTCCAGAGTTCGCTTCACTGCGTCTTTGTTTTGGGTGTCGCAGGGCACATAGGCTGCCCAGAACTGCAGAAGGAAGGCAAATGTCTACTAAAGCTGCTTCGTTTATGTTTCCTGTGTGACCTTTATCAGGAGGCCACAGAGCATCAGCAGATGATCTAAGATTGGGGTGCAAATGGAAAGGACAGATGTGTGTTTTCCACAGGAAGGAAGTGGGCAGGCAGCAGAGGTTGGGCCCACGGAAGGTGTCTTAAAACACACATATAAATTTGAAACGTAGCCAAAAGACTTAACAAATAAGCTGGCCTGAAAATCTTTACCTGAAAATAAACAAACTGATAAGTTTAGCAATTTGCAATGATCAGATGTTTCAGCAGGAAAGTTACTTTCTCCTATTTTATTATATGGAACACTTGCAAGTGTCTCTTGCTCATCTCTTACCTGTGCTCCTACATGTCCAAGACGCAGCTTCTGAATATTGGTATGAGTGTCTTGCAGCTCCTGCAAATTGGCTGACTTTAAAGACAGCTGGTTGTTGAATTTTGTCAGCAACTGCCAAGGCAGATCATTGTGACTACAAAAGTGAAAGATAACATCTTATCATCTTGAGTAGATGCTGGGTTACCATCTGATTAAAGCAGATTAATTGATAGAACAATTGTCCTTGGAGATCAAAGGTTGAAATGGTACCAGTTACTCTTCTTTACATCAGATTAAAGGATGAGCTAGGTGGTTGTAAATCAGTAGCTACAGTTTGTTTGCAGCACTAAGACTCTATCTTGCTTTGATCAGAGAAGGCAATTCATAAAACAACAAAAATCTGTTTTGTTTATTTTATTTATTTGTCATAATCTCACTTGTAGAGTCACTCTGGATGGTGTACAATTAAAACACAAACACTTAAAAACTATATAAAAATACAATAAACAAATTAAAGAGCCAGATAGAAACAGGAATAAAATAAGTTAATGCTTAAAAGGCTGGGGGAAGCTGATTAAGGTACCAACCACCTGCAACTTTATCAATAGTTACCCTTTTACTGTAACAGTTAGTAACTCCTGGTAATCACAGCCAGCCACCTCTCTGGATTTGCAGAAGATCCAATCCTTTTGCCAACTATATTTAACAGGCAACGAAAGGCTATTTTGTCCATTAACGACTTGCCTTCTAACTAAGCAATTCGATTATTTAGTTGCATTTAAATGAAGAGGCAGAGCAACCAAACCACAAACTGCATCTTTTTCCAATATCTGACGGAAATCCCAAAGGTGCTTTTTCAGGAGGCAACTGGACTTTCATGTTTTCCTTTGAAGGAAATAAGTTCAGCTATAATTCAAAACAAATAGTATTCAAAATCAAAGCAAGTTCTCTTTAAAAAAAATAACAGAGATAGGACCAGGTCTATTATTGTTTAAAAGTTGCTTTGATCTTGAATGTTATTCTGTATCAGTGGTGGGATAATTTTTTTGTTGCCCAGGCCCAGAATGGACTTCTGTAAGCAGCATCCACACAGAGAACCGGTTGTTCACATATTTGAATCCCATCACTGTTCTGTATTGAACTGAAACTTCCTTCCTAATTCCCAGAACCCCCAGCCACTACTCAGCTCTAGTTGTTAACAAAAAACGGCTGGAATCTGCTGGAAGTTCCCAAGACTGCCTCAAATGCACCCCCCCCAGCTGATTCCACATTCGGAAGGAATCCCAGGCAAGGAGTCAGAAGAGCTGTGTGATTTCCTGGTGCCCAGAGATGGACCCTCTTCTATGTTCTACTGGAAGTCATGCTGCTCTTCAAGGGACAGGCAAGGGGGGGGCAGCTGTAAGAGCCTTTACGTTTCTTCACCTCTGGGTTTTCCAGCACCTCCAAGGCCGTCTGAATGTTGTACTTCTACCTCAGTTCCAGGACCTCCAGGGAGAGGTGCCAGGTTTGGCCAACCCCGAGGGCAATCTCCTGGTGGTTGATTATTCACTGAGCAAACAGCTCCTCCTCTGTCAAGGCCAGCACGGAGGGGGTTGGGATCTCTTCCCCTGCATTGTTCTGAATGCTTCTTCAGTTTTGAGAAGGAAAACTTTCATGCCTTCTCCACACTTTGCTTAATGGAATACACACTTACAGAACTCACTTTTTCTTACTGTAAATAGCATGGAAACATTCCCTTCCCACAGTGCTGCCCCAGCCCTTAGCTAATTTGGTTGCCTTGCCTGCCACCTCCGTCTCCGGGAATCCTTTCTGAGATGGCCAAATCCAGAAAGCTGTTTCAGGAAGGTCACGCCCTGCACTGCGATTGTGGGACTTTCCTCTCAGGCTCTGCTGCACGTGAGCCTTACAAAAATATTGGCCTCCTTACAGGTGACACACTTTTCTTTGCCACCCACCTACCAAAGGATTGACCTCAGCCTCAAGTTCTCCTTCCCTGTTGGCCACTTCGAGTTCAGTTGCCATCAATTTATGCTACATCTGGAGGTTTTGCTCCCAAATCCATTGCTTTATTTCCACTGAAAGACATTTGACAGTTTAATGTTTGTACCCTACTTTGCAGTGACTCTTGTGCAATTCTTTGTCACCAGCTTTTGTTTTAGTCCCTCCTGCAAGGGCTTGTCCACCGCTTTTTCCTCCTCAGCACGTCATCATTTAGAATCTCCTAAAAGGGTTTTTTTCTCAGGAAGCCTTGATGGAAAACTTCCTCCTAGTCTGCCCTATAGATTTTGTTCCCTGGAGAGCAGCCCAGTCGTATTGCACGTGCATTTTAAAGGCTCTCACGGATGTGGAGTATGTCAGCCCCCTTGGAAGTCGTGTGGCATTGTGCCAACAAGCCAGCCCAGTGGAAAGCTGGGTGCCAGCCTAGTGCCGGCAGGAGGCCCGGGGGGGGGGGCAGGAAAAGGACGCTCCTTGCAGCCCCCCACCCCATCTTCCAAGACAGGGCTTTGCTCAACCAACCCACCGCAGGGAAAGGGAGGCTGTGATCTTACCCGTCCACCACTGGTGTGGCATTCATTATTTTGGCTGCCTCCAGCTGATGGACATCTGCCAGGCAGACGGAGAACCAAGCAAGCATGAGGTAAGGTATCAGCAGCATCAGCATCCTGGGGCAAGGGGGATCTGGACCAGCAGCAGAGATTTCCTCCAGTGTTTCCTCCAAGGGATCCTCGGAGGCAAGTGGGGTGGCAAGGATCACTTGGGGAGTGCCCTGAGGGGGATCCACCCATCATGTGGTAGCTCCTGAGGGTGAGTGTAGCTTGGGAGGAGCCAGAGAAGGCTTCAGGCAGCTGATCTCATCCTGCACTTTGAGAAGACACAGGGAGGGTCCCTCTGGGAGGGAACAGCTGCGGAGAGTCTGGGCAGCTGCAACCCTTCCTAGAACATCTGTTCCACTTCCTTTCGTGGACCCCCAGGTCTCTGTAACCCCAGGGAAGAGACCTCCCCGGCAGTGCAGAGCAGCCCCTCCTGGACAAGAACTCTCTTTCTCCTCTGGGTTCAGTTGGGTTCCAAGTCCCCAAGGACTCCTCCCTTGGAAGCGATCCATTGGTGACGTCTGAACGAGGCAGAATCTGGATGGGGACAAAGTGGGCGAGGTTGTTCTTCCTGGGAGCTCCCTCTTTTCAAGCTAAACATTAAAAGCAGACTGCAGCTGTTCATTTATGATGGAAACAGACCAGTCCTCGCTGGGTCACTTTCTTCTCTGAACGAAATGAAAGCAGATCCCAGGTGAAAACCAGTCTTGTGCAGAGACTGGGCCTCTCTTCTGGAACATGAGATTTGCAGTTGGGGGGCATCTCTAGGTTCAGCTCTGCTTTTATCCAATCAGTCAGGGGAAAGGATGGTCCCTTGGTTCAGAGTTGGCCACGGTTCATGACATCACCAGATCTACAGAGCTCCCCTTGGGCATGCCAAGGTTGCCAGTCACACATGGAGAAATTGCAACTGTTCAAACTCAGTCTGAGGTGCATTTCTTCTGAAAGAGTGAGTCCCCCAATGCCTGAAGGAGATTCTGCCTGTTTGGCAGATGAGCCTGCAGCGGTGGGCACAAGAGGTCTCACTCAGATGGGAGAGTTCGCTCAGCTGAACTTCAGCCCTGCCATTCCCCAGATTTGATTCAGCAATTCAGCGCAGCTAATTGGGGTGAGGGTGAGAGTACTGAGAAGCCTCGTAATGTGGAGTTATGACCAGGTGATCCATAGTAGCCTATATGGGAAGGGGATGCTGATTCAGTTCCAGGTGTAGCTGGAATTTGAGGGCATAGAGACAGGCATGAGGGTTCACTAGTTAATTCTGCCTGTTACTGAGCAAGATAATTAGAAACCAACAGACAAGAGGCTTAGGAAAGAGAGAAGCGGAGACCAAGTTAATTATAAATGCTTTCTAAGCTCCTGTTAAATTTTAGGTGAGGACAGGGGGGCAGTATGTCCATCTAACTATGATTAATGACCTAATAGGTTACGACTTTGTTTGCTTTTAATTTTATTTCCATGCAAAAACCTAAGAAGGGATGTGCTTTGTGAGAACTGCATAAAAGGAAGGAGGGCTGGGCTAACTTTAGACATTTTTTTCCTGCCTCTCCCCCCCCCCCCTTTATTTGTGAAGCTGGGAAAGATCTGGAGAGAGGGATGGAGGATGGGAGGGGGGGACATCAAGCACTGAAGTTGAACCTATGATAGGCTGCATAAATGTGCGCCTTGCTGTTCTTTTCCAGGCAGACGGTGAGGGCTAATCTGGACATTAAGAAGACACAGGTTTGCCTTTGGGGGTGTGCAGAGTTCCTGAAGGGCTGACTTCAATATTAAACATAAAAGACAACAATATTACATTCTCCTCATCCGTTGTGCTTTTTAAGTTACCTTACACATAGTCACACATTTTCAACTAATCTCTCTCTCTTTATATGTTCCTAACAACTTCTTAAACAGGTCAACTACCGTAACAAACCGGTCAAGGTTTTTCCTTTCTTGCATCAATAACAAAGCAGCTCAGAAAACCAAGAGAACCAGATACCAGCAACCCACAGGAAGCTTTTCCCACACACATTGCACCATTGTGTTGTGCTCCCCCCCCAAGTACGATTATGAATATAATGTTGTGCAACCCTCTTTTTTCTTTCTGGGCCAGTTTCCCTGCTCATAAGCCAATAGTGCTGGGCACACTTCAAATGATTTATTTTTAAAATTAAGGTTATTTGATACTTGTATTCATATTCACAAAAACAGACCAGTTGCTTTGTCAAATTGCTGGCAACTCCATGAATAGTCTATTCTTTGTCCTGCCATTTAGATTTTTTTTTTTTAAAAAGGATTTGAAATAAAACAATCAGCCTTGAAGACAGGAGGACAGCATATTGCAAAACATCCAATTTGGCTGAAAGGTCAAGAACAATTGGAAAGATCCAACCAGAGTTATGATACGAAATTATTGATTAACTTATTCTGATTTTATTTCTATTAGTACGGAAGAATCTGTGCTGTTTCCAGAGACGAAGAATGCTGCCCTGTTGGATCAACCTGCAGCTGTTGCTCATAACAATCCTGCCTTCAGAAATGATGGTTTTGGCCCACGTGTGTTTAGGTTTGGGGAGGAGACCTCCCTCCCACCACTGGGCTGAGCAGGCAGGGAGGGAGGCCCTTTGGCTGCAGGAGAGCAGAGAGGCCTCCCGGCTGCTGCCAGCACGATGGCTCGGCTGGATGTGACCGAGGTCTTTGCTAACATGCGCCTGCCAGGACACCTCCACACCCAGAGCTCTCTCCACTTTGCCAGCAACTTTGAATTCCACGACTCGGATGTCCTCCTTGTCACTTACCCCAAATCAGGTAAAGAATGTGGTGGGCCCATGCTAGGAGAAGAGGACAACCTGTCCAGCACGAAAGTTCTTTTTTTGCCAGCCAAACTCTCTGTGCAAAACCAAATCTGGTTGTGAGATTAGGTAGCTAAGTGTGTTTACTCAGAGTACAAAAGGGAGCCTCTTCTAAAGATATTTGAAGCCTTTTGAAGCTGGCTGGGACGGCTCCTTCTGCTCCAAGCCTCTTCAGGTGGGCTCTTATTCCTCCCCCCTCGGTATGTCTGAAGAGCCCTTTTCTCTGGGGGGGGGACATGGAATGTCTCATTCATAAAAAAACTGCTTCCCTCCTCTCCCCCTCTCTGCAGAAGCCGGTGTCTTTGTTGTTGACGTATTCGGTGCCCTCAGAGGAAACACAAACTTCTCTTAAAATAATTGAAAGGCTGCGGCTGAGACAAAGCACCATTAAACCAAGGCATTCTAGTTACAATGGTAGAAATTTTTGACAAAGTAATAACCAGAGAAGAAAATAAAGAAAGATAATAAACAGGGAAGAAAGAAAATAGAAAAAGAAAGATGACAGAGAAGCAATTTCCAGTCTTGTTGACAGGGGTCTCTTTTGTCAGCAAAAGGTCCATCAGGGGTTTGTAGTCACCGATCAATGTAGTTGTTGATCTTTCTCTAATTAAGCAAGTTAATTTTGCTATCTCTGCTAGTTCTGCATCTTCACCAGCCTTTCCTCCGTTTCATAGCCTTTTCATTTTTGTGCATATCACAGTCTTGCAACAGGCAATGTGGCATTTCAAGTAACACTTAAGAAGAACTTTGTGGTTGCCTGAGTGATTTTGATTGTGGAAACTCATAAACTATTTTGATAGATAGTAGGCTGCTCTTTGAAAGACAGATGATGGCAGGACTATCTTATCTGGCCCCTGAGACAATAAGGGTTTGGTCTTGACTCAAAGGGAAACTTTAATCATTGACTGACCCCTGAACTACTGCCCCCTTTCCAAGAAGCTGCCTAGGGCCCTGGTTCATCAACCAGAGCTTTGCCTACATCCCCACCCCACCAACCCAGAGGCTCCATGTGAGGGCCCCTCTGCCCTTTCCGGTAGCTTTTACCATTGGATCCCTGAATCCCACCCAGCCCCTGGTTGAACATAGGCTGGACCTCTGGCTGGAGGCCTTTGGGGCACTGTGAAGAAAGAGGGAAAATGGAGCCGTCCTCCTTTCCTGTTCCCCAGGACTCTTGGGAGCCCTTGAGAGGCTCTCCCTGCCCTTCAGCCAACCTGGACCAAGCACCCCTATCTGGAGGAGGGAAGGAGAGAATGTTTGTCTTCATGGTGGGTTTTTTTTCTCGTGGTTGCATAAATTTGCTTTCTTCTAGTCCTTGAGCCAGGGGACAAATATGCTGGCACAACTGGTTCTGCCCAAGAGGTGAGCTCTAATCTGCATGCATTTCTATCAATTGTTTACGTTTAATGGACTATCAGTAAATCAAACAATTAATTGAGCGCTTTACTGCAGGTAGCTGAAAGGTTGGTAGAGCTGCCAGGGAAAAGAGTCTCCCCCCCCAATTGCTTTACTTATGGCAGAGTGGGCTTGGGGAAATGTTGGGGTGCACCCTCGCTCTAAGTACCTTTTAGGTTGCCCAAGTGATAGGTCACCAGGGTGGAGATGCTCAGTCACCTGTCCATTGAACACCAAGGGCTCATTTCTGCTCCCGTTCTCTGAATGCAGCGTTCTGAATGAGCGGATGCAGGTGCCCCACCACTTTCTTTTCTGAGCAAATGATCTTTTTCCCCAAGGAGAACCTCTGTGATACGTTCTTGCAGTCAAAAAGCCTACAGTTCCACAGGTCATTGTGACCATGCCAATCTTCTCCTCCTGCCCTCCAGGCACCACGTGGATGCAAGAAATCTTGACCTTGATCTACAGCAATGGCAACCTCGAGCCTGTAAAGACTCTTCCCAACTGGGCTCGGGCTCCCTGGTTGGAGCACAGTTATTTCCAAGAGCAACTTCAGCACATTGGGTCTCGTCCGCGCCTCCTCACCACCCACCTGACCCGGTCAGCGCTAGCGCCTGCCCTGAAGAAAGCTAAGCCCAAGGTGCGTCTCCGGAGATACTCCATGGCTTCATTTCAGAGCCAGCATTCACTAGGATGATGGCAAAACGTTCAGATGAGGCTATCCTGCTCCCCCCCCCCCGAGATTTCAGAGGGACATAATGTGGCATATTCAGCTTAGCATGTTGTGAGTGCAGCCATGATGTCTCCTGTGAAGCTATTCAAGGAAACTGCAGCGAGACCCAAGGTTGGGATGGCAGGTGGTCAAAACAGGAAGTCCTAAGGGCGGCGTCAGCTTGTCCATTCTTTGCTGCTGCAGGTGATCTATGTGGTCAGGAATCCAAAAGATGTTGCTGTGTCCTACTACCATTTCCAGAGAATGGCCAAGTTCTTCCCTGATCCAACCTCCTTTGAAGACTTCCTTCACAATTTCATGGCTGGCACCGGTATGTGGGAGAGCTCACAGCATCTTCCGTTTCTTTTTCCCCAACATGCCCCCTAAGAGCACAGCCATTCGGTTCAGTGCCATCATGATTTATATTTTTCAGTAAATATATCTCTCTGCTTGCCAACATGGGATGCTTTATGTCATTATGCTTAAAAAGCAGTTGCAAAGTTCAGCTGAGGAAGTGGTAGAACCGGGTGATTGCTTAAACCCCTGGTCTCCAGTTTCACGGCAAGCTCCATTGTGGGTATTCGACTCTCTTTACAGTTCTCGTAATCTGCTTTCATTTTGTACTGTAACTGCAAATTTGGGGGCTGTTGAGGTTGTGCATTTGTTTCAACAATGTAAGAGTGGTGTTTTAGCTTAAAGCAGGGGTCTCCAAACTTGGCAACTCTAAGACTTGTAGACTTCAACTCCCAGAATTCCTCAGCCAGCATAGCTGGCAGTTGAAGTCCACCAGTCTTGGAGCTGCCCAGTTTGGAGACTGCTGGCTTAAAGCACTGCAGCTGCTTTGGTCGTGACTGTTTTCAATTAGTCCCAGAGGCTCCATAAGTGGAGGCAGAAGTTTCCGAAGGCGGCTAGGAGCCTCCCCCAGTCTGATGGTCTCCAAATGTAGTAGAGAATAGCTCTGCTCAGGTGGGCCGGGAATCCTGGGGATTGCGGTTCAGTGCATTCAGAGGGCATTAGGTGGGCGATGGCTTTGTCAGGCAGTCCGGAGATGGTGAATGTGTTCCCCTTGTATCAGGATGCACTGACATGTTTGCTTTCATCCTTAACTGGATGGATTTTCCTTAAAACAATTGGGAAGGTCCCTTTTCCATTCTTTGGCAGTTTTATTTTTTTATTTTATTTTATTCAAATACAAATAATACAAACATAACATATAAATCTAAATAAAAACATTATAAAAATACAAATACTACAGTGCACCCACACCCCTGGAGACGATTTTTATTACCTATATTTCTTCTCATATAACAACTAACAATATATTTCAATTGTGCCTTTATCCCCTCCAAAACAGCATGCATTCTTGAGCAGTTTATTCCCTTTGCCTTCCACCAAGACTGTTTTTATAAAATCATCCCATATTTCATTATAATTATTTACTTTAATCATCCCTTTTTTAAAATTTAATTTCTGTTGTTAATTTATCATTTATTGCCATATTCCATATTTTATTATACCACTCATTTCTTTGAATATCCCAGTTCCGTCTCCAATATTTAACCATCACTAATCTAGCTGCCATTATCAAATTTACAATCAATTCCTTTTTTGCTTCATTTATATCTTGTTTTTCCACTAGTAACAGTAATGCGATCCTCGGTGACATATCTAAATTTACCTTCAAAAGTTCTCTACTTTCCCTAAACACCATGTCCCATATCTTTTGTGCACTATCACAATCCCACCACATATGTTTATATGTTCCAATCTCTTTCTCGCATCTCCAGCAAATATTTGTATATTTAACATCTATTTGATTTAATTTGTGTGGTGTTGGGTACCACCTCCATATCACTTTATATCCATTTTCCTTAACTCTGACATATTCTTATATACTCTTCTGTTCCAAATATTTTTCCAATCTTTATCGTTTATTTCTCCTAAGATTAATTTTAAACCTTTTGCCTGATCTTCTAGTTCAGTTAATATTCTGTATATTTTCCCAGTTCTTCCTTTACCTATATTTTCTTCATTTTCCTCACTTTCTTTTATAATCATTTCAAATTTTGTTAACTGTCTATCTTTCTCCTCGAATTTTTCTTCCATTGTTATCCATTTTAACTTAGTATCTGATAAAACATTCTTTAATTGTATTATATTCTTTATCTTGTTCTTCCAGTCTTCCCATTTATATATCTGATTTTTTAAAAATTTACTAATCCAATCTTTCAGTTCAATCTTAGGGAATTTCTCCATTTCTACTACCGGTATCTGCTATAATATCTGGGACCACCCTTAATTGATTAGCTACCCAATAATTTCTAACATTTGGAAGACCCAGCCTGCCCTTTTTTAATGGTTCATACCATAAAGCTTTACTTATTCTTGCTCTCTTGCCTCCATTACAATACACCTCCAGCAATCTCTGTATTTCCTTTAATTCTTGATCCGAAAACTTAATTGGGATCATCCAAAACAAAAAGTTAATTTTTAGTAAAACTTTCATTTTTATTGCTGCAATTCTTCCAAACCATGATAATTTTACTTTTCCATATTTATCCATTTTATCTTTTATATCTATCTTTCTTTAACTTCTTTAATTCTTGAATATTTTTTGGATGTCAATACCTAAATATTTGATACTATCTACTATTTTTAATTTATATATTTCTTTCAATACATCCATTTATTCTTTACTATAGTTATATAACATCATTTCTGATTTTTCCCAATTTATTTGCAATCCACTATATTTACCAAATTCATTCAAATGTGAATATACCCTCCCTATAGTAGCTATGGGATTTTGAAATATTAGTAATGTATCATCTGCAAATAAATTTATTTTCATTTTCTTACATATGCCAATTCCTTCAATCAATGAATCTTTCCTAATTGCATTTGCCAAAACCTCCATCAATAATACAAATAGAACTGTGGATAAGGGGCAACCCTGTCTCGTTCCCCGGCTTAAGGTTATTGTCTCTATAACACCCTCATTTATGACTATTCTTGCCTTATTCTCTGAGTATAGTTGATTTATCACCTTTCTAAAATAATTTCCAAAGCCTAATTTCTCTATTAATATTTTCAATGTAGGTCATTCCACACAATCGAAGGCCTTAAAAACATCTAATGCTAATAAACCAGCTTTTAATTTTTGATTCTTTCTGTAATAGCCTAAATTTAATACCCTTCTTACTACATCTGACATTTGTCAGCCTCTTATAAATCCACACTGGTCTTTTTAAATATAATTCTCTATAAATGTATTAAATCTATTTGTCAATATTGCTGTAAAAATCTTAGCATCCTGATTAATAAGGGATATTGGTCTATATGATCCTGGGTTTGTAAGATCTTTATTAGGTTTCGCTATCAATACTATCAGAGATTGCTTCCAGGAACTTGGAATAATTTCCCCTTCCATTATTTTATTAAACATTAACCTCATCTTCGGCACCAATAATCCTTTAAAATGTTTATAATAGTCTACGCCTAGTCCATCTAACCCTGGTGCTTTACCTATTTTCAATTTATTAATAACTTCCAGTATCTCCTCCTCGTCTATTTGTGATTTCATTATTTCTTTATCACATTCTCGAATTTTACAGTTTAAATTCTTTTCTATGTATGCCTGACTTTCATTCAAATGTATTTTCTTTCCCTTATATAACTTTTGAAAAAACTTCTGAAATATCAACAATTTTTCTCTCATCATGTTACATCTTTCTCCCTTTTTGTTCTTTATTACTCCAATCAGGCTTTTTGCCTTTTTAACTTGTGTGGCTCTAGCCAACATTCTAGAATTTTTATTACTATTTTCATAAAATTCCCTGTTTAAATAAATTGGATTTCTTTGAACTTGTTCTAACTCAATATTTTGCAACTCTTTTCTTTTAGCTGATAATTCTAATATAATCCTATTCTCTCTATATATTTACTCTCTAGTTCTTTAATTTCCTCCTCCAACCTTTTTATATGTTTCTCGTTTTGGTTTTTTTTATATTATAAGACTATTTTATCCCTAAACCTCTTATCATTTCCCATTCTTCAGCAGTTTTACAAAGTAACTGTTGTCATGCACAGCTGGAGCTGAACTAAAAACATTTCTGCTCTTGAACGTGCCCCAAGGCTTTCTAGGAGGCGAAAGATATTTTTCCTGAGGGATTCCTGTGTCAGAGCCCACCCTTTAGAAGGGGCAGCGGAGGCGCTCCTGGTTCCTAGAAGATGCTTCAAGGGCTGCTGGGCTCATCTTCCCTTCCATCCCACCTCAGCATTAATTCCAGCACAGTTTAACAGCTGGCCAAGAGCCAGAGCAGGGATCTCTTTCATAGCTGGTGATCAGACTGAAGGCAGAGGAACTGCTCTCGAAAGCACACCGTGGTAGTGGTGGCCATTTTCTAGGGGGGAGAAGGGGCGATTCCTCCATCTGGGGACTTCTTGCCTAGCAGGACAGACATCAAAACACACCTGGGGGTGCCGGTGGGGTCAGGGAGTGGCTGCTAGACTCTGCCGAGGGTCCTTCTCCCTCCCACCCACCCACCCAGTCAGTCTGTCAAGTTCTGCCTGCTTCCAGCGTCAGGCTGGGAGATAGACGGGCTCAAAGCAGAGGCTGCTTGGAACATTTTGTGACTTGACTTTCTTCAGATGAATCATAAGCGGAATTTAAGGGACAGCCAGCAGGCTGAGATGCCAGCAAAGGATGTGGCTCCTCGCTAGTTGCCAGGAGGCTGAAGTGGGAGGCAAAGCGGCTTCTTTCCCTCTCTGATCCTGGTCTTCTCCCTGCTTTGAAACAGTGCACTACGGTTCCTGGTTTGAGCACGTGAAAGGCTGGCTCAGCTGCCAAGAAGAGCTGGGCCTGTTCTGCATCACCTACGAGGAGCTCCATCAAGTGAGTTTGCCCACAGACCGCACCAGCCGTGGCAGGGAAGGAGACCAGCTTACTTCGAAACAGGATGGTGGTTTCAAATGCTGGCCTTGTTGTCAGGAAGAGGGTTGTGTGAACGGGAACAAAGTTGGAGAGCCTGATTCAGGCTGGGTTGTGAGGATGGAAAGGCGAGTGCTGAAGGAAGGAGCCCCCTCCCCAGCCTTCTCTCCCCTTCCATCCCCCCAGGACAGCCAGGACAGCTCCAGGCGTCAGGCCGGGGGAAGGACAGAAAAGAGAGAGAGATCTGGAAACGGGCTGGGAAGTGGAGACGTCAGCAAGTGAACTAAACAGGCCTCCTCTGGGGTGACTGGATTTAGCCTTGCATGGAGAGGGAAAGCAAATGGCTCAAAGTTCAGATAGGTGATTTTTTTTTTTGTGGTTTGGAAGCTAAGATCCATATGTAGGTAGATACTTTTTACCTTTTCTGATTTGCAAGCAGCAAAGTGCAAGATTGGCCCTTGCAATGCTCCTAGATTCCCAGTTCCTAGCCTGATCAGCTGTGAAAATCATGAGAATTGCTGGCTGATATCCAGAAGGCCACATTTTGTCCTTTGAGGCTCTAAAATGGTGACAGAATATCCTCTCCTGATGTGGTAGAACACAATTCCCATCATTCCCAGCCCACGGCTCCTTTTCTGCCACAGGGATCAGCAGTGGAGCTCTTGCCTTGGGACAGGGCAGGCAGGTGACCCCTTCTTGGAGTTGAAGCAAGAGTCAAAGGGTTGGGTCCCACGGCTCCTCCTCTATAGGACCTGCTTTGTTCATCACTCTTCCTCCTTCTCCTCCCCCCCTCCTCCTAGGACCTGAAACACTGTGTGGCACAGCTGAGTGCCTTCCTGGACCACCCAGTTGAGCCAGATCAGGTGGACTGCATACTGGAGCACTGCAGCTTTGCTGCCATGAAAGAAAACATCATGGTGAATGGCAAACTTGTTCCTCCTGAGATCATGGATCTTCAGAAAAGCCAGTTCATGAGGAAAGGTCAGCGGAGGCCACAGGGGTGGGGAGGCCGGCGAGAGTTGGCGCAGTGCTGCCCTTCCCAGGTTCACCTCGTCCTTTCGCTTCCTTTGCTAGATGAGCACCGTCTCTGTTGCGGATTCAGCAAGATCTTTCTTCTGCCCTTCTAGGTATTGTTGGTGACTGGAGGAACCACTTCTCCCCCAAACAGAGCGCTCTCTTCAATGAGAAATACCAGGAGGAGATGGGAGGCCACCCCTGGCCCCTCCAGTGGGACATGGACTGACAGCAGCTGCCCCAAGACCTGGGCTGGCCTTTGCAAGACCTGGGCTGGCCTTTGCACTTGAGCTGTCTCAGGAAGGCAGCTCAAGTGTGGGACTTTCTTCCACTGGGAAAAGTTACTGGGAAGTCGCCCAGCAAGGTGTCATACCAATCTGGGGCTGCGAGATAATTCTTACACAGTCATTAAAAGCTGCATGGTAGCAAATTGGATGACTACAAAACAGATGGAAACAAGCCAGTCTCTCAAAGGAGGGGACCAAATAATTTCTTTTTAAGCGCTCCATGGCATCGGACCTGGTTATCTCCGAGACCGCCTTCTGCCTCAGATTACCTCTCATCGGCCGATACGCTCCCACAGAGAGGGTCTCCTCAGGGTGCCGTCAGCCAGACAGTGTCGGTTGGCGACCCCCAGGGGGAGGGCCTTCTCTGTTGGAGCCCCCACCCTTTGGAACGAACTACCCCCAGAGATCCGGGTGATTCCGGATCTCCCCTCCTTCCGCCGCGCCCTCAAGACATGGCTATTTCAGCTAGCCGGACTGGCCTAAGGGGTATTTTAATTTGGTTTTTAAAATAATTTTAAAAAAGAAACGGCCAATAATGAATATTTCATTTTAATCATATTTTAAAATTAGTATTATTGTATTAGTTATCTGTTTTAACTGGCTGTAAGCCGCCCTGAGTCCGTTAGGAGAAGGGCGGGGTATAAATTTGATAAATAATAATAATAAATAATAATAAAGAAGGGTGGACAGAAGGCTAAAAGCCAGGGGGATTTTATGTTTACAGTTAAGGGCTTGTTAGAGTCACACCAGTTGCTGGAAATTTTCCTTTCTTCAGTAAATCTGACTTATTTGCAGTGTCCCCAGGGGTTCACACCCCTGCTTGGAGCCAGAGAGTAGCCCACAGGCCAGTAGAGGCTTCCTCTCCTCCCTTCCTGGCAAGCAGAGGGTGCTCAGGAGGGGCTTTCAGTGAGCTGGAGAGAGCACAGCTGCACAGATATCCTCTGGCAGCTGCCTTTCCAGCTGCGCCTCTCCCCTTGCCTCTTCTGCAAATGAACTGGCCGAAGTGTAGAGTAAGAACGAGCCATTGTCCCCAGTAAACAGCAGGACATTGTCCAGCATGAGAAGAACAGGCAAATCTGCAATTCTGTAGCACAATCATCTTGGAGATGCTAAGGATGCTAACGGGAGACATCAAGTCACAGCCTGGCCCTTCCTTCCTCCAGATGTGCTGAAGAGCAGATTCCCTCTCTCCTGTCCTCTGGGTGGTGGGAACTCCAGTTGAATGTGTTTGAAAGAGAACATCAGGCTGGGGAGGGGACATCCTGCAAACATCATGTCCATCAGAGTCCTACACAGGGACTCCTGCACATGGTCGGAAAGTAACTTTTCTTTCCAGCACTGCAGATAAGTCAGATGTGTGGAAGAGAGCAGGGTTTCATCTCTTTGATTAGTAAGATTTTCTGCTGGAATATTGCGGTGAGAGTATTTCCCTCCCCTTCTGTCCATCAGGATATTGTCCTGGCCGAGGAACAAAATCCTCAGTGGCAACTTCTTCTAGGTAACTCAACCCTATTGGTTAATAGCACCCTTTCTGCCCCCTCCCCAGGGTTTCCGTCATCCAAGGAACCCACTGCAATAGGAAAAAATATTAAATCCAAAACACCTTTATTTTTATTTAATACATTTAAATTTCATCTTTAATATGTTTTATCCAAGAAACTACAGTAAATAATTCAATAACGGCAAGACAAAAAGTATGTTCACAAAATATTTCAAACCAGTCTTTTTTAAAAAAAAAAATAGCAAAAAAAAAAGTAGCAGCAGATTTGGATGATGATAAAATGTATTTCTCAGAAATCCTGCACATATTCATCAAGGCTGGGAAAGACACCCAAAGGGAAGATGGGGGGGGGGGGGGAGAGAAACTGCACAGAATAAAAAATACAAGGTTCGGACATGCCAGCCTGAAACCGCCTCTTCTCCATGGAAACTCTGCTGAAATGTTGGCCCAACCTTTTCACCCCAGGGTCCTGGATCCCTCCCTCCCTGCCCAGCAAGATGAAGGTGCCAGCTGGGGAGGGGGGCAACGGCACCCCAAGCCAAGGGAAGATGCTGCTTTGGCGATGGCTGACTAATTCATTCTCAGGGCAGAATTCCTGGCCTAACCCGAGTGGCCCTGCCTGCATTTCCAAAGCGTTTGCAGAGTGAGGCCCACAATTCAAGACAATCAAAGCTGCCTCTATTGTGGCACCCATCAAAATGGGCGGAGCTTCAGCCACTCTGCCACGTCCACCATCTTGACTTTTCTGACCATGCCCCGAGGATGCTCATGCTGCATTTTATTCCATCCCAGCACACAAAACAAACCATTACTCTTAAATTGGGGCCAGGAAAAACAAAGACTAGACTTTGATCTGTCCCAACCGGTTCTCTTGCTCTCAGCCTGAGTCATTAAAAGCTTATTGTATAAAAATTAAGGAAAGCGAAGAGGGAGTGCAGGGACAGACAGCTAAAGAGGGAAGAGGCTGAGGCAAAGAAGGAAGGAAGGGCTAGGAAAGTGGAACGGGGTGGGAAAGCTGCAGGTCCACCAGGCAGCCGGTGATTGGCCACAATCTGAAGACGCTCAAGGTCTTGTGACGTATTCCAGCTGATTTCCCAAGATAGGAGGAGGACCCAGTGAGGGAAGATTCCTAAAATGCTACCTAGGAGGTCAAATCATGTTCATAACTTCTTTTTTCTTTCAGGAAACTGATTAGCGTAACATAATGTTAATCAGCAAAAGACATGGAAGCCTGTTTCTACCACAGATGCTTGACAGAGGAAGCCCTGTTCTTCCTCCCCCCCTTTCAGTTGATGGAGGGACCTGTCTGTTCAGCTGCTGTGGCCGAGTCCATGGATCCAGCTAAAACCTTCTCTTAAATCTCCAGTGAACAGCAAAGTCCAGCCATTAAAACAAGGGAATTAAAAGCGAGTGAGGTTGTCTTACAAATCATGGCCCTGGTTTTCTTTTCATGGGATTGCCAAACAAATTGGTCATTAAAGGGAAGGCAGAGGGTAAAAGGCAAGATGTGAGAACTGCTGACCCCAGAGCTCTATTCTGATGCTCCGAGATCATCTCCAGAGGTTGGTTTCTCACATTCCCCCCCTCGGGAGGCCACCTTGTTCAGGCAGATGCTTCTCCATCACCCATCACCAATCTAAGTCCTAGGATGGTCCTGGAGAAGCCTGTCTGGAAAGTTAGGCCAGCCAGGGAGGGAGCTGCAATATTCCTGCCCCCGGCTGACCAAGCGGTCACCTTTTCAGTCCAGCTGATTGATAGATCCATTTCCTGAATTATCTTCAAGGGTCTGACATCTTCCAGGTGACAAATATTCTTCAGTTGCTCAGAGGCAACGGACGGGAGGCTCCTTTCAGAGCTACAAACCCCCACAGTGTAGGAAGACCAGATTGGATTCCTGCAGACGATTAGCCATGCCGGGCAAGAGGGAGGCCATCGCTGGAAGGAGACCCACCAAGGGAGCCGTCTGGGGAAAGGCCGGGGGGCTCACAATCCATCCTCACGTTAGCTGAGATGCTGGGGAGGTGCTGCGGCCGCAGGTCCTGCTCAGTTAGACAGCAGGGCAAGCAGAGCTTTTGTCCAACCTTCTGGACTTTGTGCCGGAAGTTCCTGTTGACCCAGAAGTAGACAAAGCAGTTGAGGAAGCCGCTGCCAATGGGGAGCCACAAAGCAATAAATTCCAGCCAGTCAGGGACTCTTTCCTGGGTGATTGCTGGGAAGAGAGAGAGAGAGAGAGAGAGAGAGAGAGAGAGAGAGAGAGAGAGAGAGAGAGACGGGTGTGAGTAAGTTTCTGCAGGTGTCTGTATTTTATCTGGGCATCTTGGCTCCTTCATCCTGCCTTAGGTGAGTCCCAGGCTTCATCATTTAGATATCAGGCTGATGCCTTCCAGGTACCGTACAACAACCAGAATTCTCAGGAAATGTTTCAGGATTATGGGACTCATAGCAAACCTTGAGGATGGCTTGCCCATGGGGAGCGTCATGTTTAGACAAAATAGATTTATTTCAAACAATTACAAGCTCATGAATCAAAGAATTGGAAGCTGAATGCAGCCTCTTGCCTCCTTCTCTTTGGAAGACAATCTCCACCCTCACTTATCCTCTGAGCTCCATCATCCCTCCTCACTCAGAGGGCAGAAGGCAGCATCTCCACTCCGAGGACTGACTCAGCTGCTCCCAGCCTTGGATCTAAAGGGCCAGGCTTAATCTCCTTGGCATACGCAAATTATGCATCAGCCTTTGGCCAGCTGTTGTTTTCCAAAGGCGCAGCCACCTTTGTGCGGGGAGAGATCATTGGAACTGCAGAGGGACAAGTATCTGGCGGGCACTGCCCTGGAGAGGCTGATTACAACATAATTGCACATCACAACTGTCAATCTCTCTTTTGGGGTATTGAGAGCCAATCCCAGAGGGTTCCCCCCCCACCCAGTTCCCTGCCCTCCACTGCCCCACCCCATATTACATGCTGTTTTCCTTGACCACAGAGGAGATGACTAATGCAACTGCCTGGGTGAAAAGAAGCCCCCTTGGGTGGCATAAAGGCCTCTGCACCTTTGCCCGGGGGGGGGCTTGCTGTGCCACCCACTTGCTCTGGGGTACTTACAGTTGTACACAAGGGTGCCAATGCAAGGGGCCCAGCAGACGAAGAAGGCAAACACAACCGGGAGCAACACTCGGGCGGCAGCATCCAGCTGGAGCATCCGTGGCCTCTTGGGCCGCCCTGCCTTTCCCAGCAAGCCCGGGTCCTTTCCACGCTGGCGCTGCGAGCGGGCCACCAGCCACAGGCGCACATTCGTGAAGGCGATGGTGGTAGCAGCTGGGCAGAAGATGGTGCCGGCGATCCAGAGGGAGTAGAAGGGGTTGGAGCCATAGTCCGGCTCACACAGCAGGGCAGCAGCAGAAAAGCGGACCTGGAGCATGGCCACAGGGGATGGGATAGCTAGTGGCAGCAGGAGGAGGGCAGGCAGGAGCCAGGCAGCCAAGATGAGCAAAAGCACCCGTCTGGGGCTCAGGAGGCGACCATAGTGGAGAGGGAAGAAGACGGCCACGTAGCGCTCCAGGGAGACCCCGGCCAGGGAGTAGAGGGAGGCCCCGAAGAGGCTGGAGTTGATGAAGGCCACCACCCGGCAGGAGGCAGCCTCTTCTCCCGCAGCATCCTCGGGGGCCGCTGGCCCCAGCGTCAGACTCCGGTACAGGTTGAGGGGCACCACCAGCACAGCCAGGGCAGCATCCGAGGCAGCCAGCGAGAGCAGCATGAAGCGACTGCTGTGGTTCCAGCCGGACACCGTGGAGGCCAGCACCACAATAGCCAGCCCATTGCCCCCCATGACCAGGACCCCCAGGACCCCCAGGAGGGTCACTTTTACCAGCCAGGTCTGACAATATGGTGGCTGGCCACAAGGGTCCAGGAGGCATGGGGAGTGCAGCCAAGCTGGCTTGGTCTTGTCCCGAGGGTCCTGCACCGTTGTCAGCCGTGTCCCCTTGCCGATATGGAGGCCTCCCTCCCCACTCAGGATGGGCCCCCCTCCCCTGCCTTTGTTCCTTCCCTGTGCATCCCGAAACCTCTCCTGCCCAGGGCCTGACAGCCGAGGCCCTCCGGCCAAAGGAGTCATGGCCTCTGGCCAGGTCTCCTGTAGGAGAGTAAAAGCCAGGAGCAGCAGCAAGATGGCACCGAAGGGGCTGCCTGAGGCCATGATGGGGGCCCTGTTGCAGCTGCACACGCCGGCTGTCCAGGGAAGAGTTTGGTCTCCAGGAAGCAGCACCTTATATGGCCCGGCTTCCCTCATTCCATTCCCAGCCTTGATTCTTTAACACCTCCAGGTGAGCAGCCCAGCCTGTTGTTCCCAGGTGTATTGGCCCTGCTGACAGTGGGTTAAGGGTATTGTAGTCCAACAGCCTTGAAGAACTACAGCCTTGAAGGATTGAGGAGAAGTGGAGCAGATCTTTTCCTGGAGTTTCACCAGTGATGAGAAAACCCAGAATTTTGGACAGATATGTGAACATTTGACTGTTTTCCTCTCTAAATGCATATAGGGCCACTTTCTAGGCTACACCTACCCACTGCCTTTTCCCATTAAAGTTTCTCTTTTTGCTGTGTTTTTAATGCTCATTTACCAGGAGTATTTGCAGAATTAGAGCCTCTGTTTTTAAAACTTCCTAATGGCCACAAAACCTCAGGCAGAGGCTTCAATTTGGATTATTCTGCTGAACAGTGTTAGACCTTAAGGGACGATGCTACAACTGCACCCAACGTTTGAACGTTGGGCCAATTCTTTGTCTCTGGAAATGAAACCTGCACACGGAATATTCTTCTGCTGCAGAGCAATTTGCAAATCTTTTTCCCACCGCCTCCCTCCAACCCTGGGCGGGCTGTTGCAAGGCTGGCCAGGAGATGAAGGCTTCTTTGCCACCTCGCCAGCTGCCACATGGGGGCGGCAGAGTCCCATTTAGGGGACCTTGCAGTGGGATGGTGCACAGTACAAGGTTATAGTGCAAATGGGGGCTGTTGCCCCCTGTCCGTCTTCTGGGGGCATTTCTGGGCAGTTGAAGTGGAGGGGGGGGGGTTGTCAGCAAGACTCAGTAAATATACTCTACATAGTTCCATCCCTGTGACTGAATTAAACATGCACACTACGTGGGGCGGGGGGAAGAAGAGGCTTAGGGCTTCTCTGTTTGGGGGACAGGTGGGGATTCAGTTCAGCCCCATCTCAGTCGATTTGGGCTTGCAGAAGGGCTCCCTCACTCATGCTGTCCCTGGGGGCATGGTGTGGGGCAGGGGAATCTCAGGTAGGGATGTGGGGCCAAAGGAGGAGGAGTGGCTCCATAAAAAGGCTCCGCCCTCAGGCCAACAACCCTCCCCAACTGAGGAGAGATGTTCGTGCATGGAGAGGCTGCATTTTCTGCATATCAGCTCTGGAACCGTATCCGAGTCTGGTGCGGATCTCTTTGACTACGTATCTAACCATCTCTGTCTCTGTCTCTCTCTGTATTTACTTGTACGATGCCTTAATCCCAAAGTGATTTTACAATAGGATTAATAACAACAAAACAGAACATGGCACGCATTGCAGAGGGTGACTAACACAAACATCTTCTCCAGCAAATGCCAACAGAGAGATGCGCACACCACCTGACCCAGACTGACAAAAAGGCAGATCTCTGTGGCTGTATAGAAGTCCAACAGGTCAAGACTATGCAGGTCTTGGAGGAATGTATTCTACAGCCACCGAGGCAACATGTCTCCAAGGTCCCCAAGACGATTGTATTTTACAGCTGGAACCTGGAATGTACCAACTTACCCAAATCTTCTAGTCAGCCAGAAATGATGGTCTTATAGGTAACCAGGTCCTGAGTCCTGAAGGGCTTTGCAGATGACAGAGCAAAGGTGTTCTTGAAACGTCCTGAGCAGTTGAGTTGAGGTATGGGGCTCCTGCCATCTCCATCTTTGGAACAAGGAAGGAAGGAATCCTCCATGGGAAAGTAGTTCATATCTGGGACATGGGGAACCATCTGCTGCTATAGCAGCTTCAGCGGTGCGTTGCTGGCCACCAGCTTGGTTGGCTTCAAAAAAGAGTTGGATCAATTCATGGAAGTCCTGAGGATCAACAGCTATTAGCCTGTATGGGATGGACCCCTCTAAAGGCCCTCTTCTGGGACACTTTGGGCAGATGCTGGCCACTGTGAGAGCAGAGTAGATGGGCCAGGGGTCTGGTCCAGCAGGGCGCAGCTTATGTTCTTAATCTTGTTTAAAAACTTTCATCTGATTGGAAAGCACCAAAGACCCACAGGTTTTTGACCGGTCTAAAGCAAATGGCGATCTCTCTCCATGCCAATGGCATAAGCGTTTACAGGCATAACAATCCCTTGTGATTGGCAAAAGACCCACATTAGGTCCTTCCAAACTCAAGCAGCAGGGCAGGAAGGTGAGAAGCAGTGCCTGGGGAGGGGGCACCAAAAGGGAGTCCAGCCCACAAATTCTGCCAGCTGCAGTAAAAACACCCCCCCCCCATCCTGCTTCCATTGGTGATACCATCCCAAGTCTTTACTGACCTGGAGATGTGGCCCAGCCCAGCCTGTTCAGTTTTGGAAGATGGACACAGGTGCCTCTGTGTTTTGCACATGCCAGAAGGAAGATTGGACAGGCAGCGTTCATACAGTAGGAAAGCGTGGTGATTGAAGGGTTTCCAGAGTCTTGGGAGGGGGGAATTGGGTGACTGCTGGACAGGCCTGTGCACGTCTCCTGTTGCATCCTGTAATCATTCCCTATCACTCCCTGCAATTAGCCGGCTTTTGTGTCGCTCTGGATGCAGCTGGCCTCCGTATGCTGTGGCTGGGCTCCTCCTTCCCGAAGTGGCTCTTGTGCTTTCCTGGCTGGAGGAGGAATTCGGCTTCTTCAGGGAAGCTCTTGCACCTGCAAGTAATGCAAACCTGGGTGCAAGCTGGCTTCTGAATGCAGCCAAGAAAGCTGGAGGCCGAGAGTAGGCCCTGACCTGATGACTGATTTAGGCCAGATGCAAAGCCAACCTTCTTACTGGCTGGACTGAAACTGATCTATGGCAGTCTGGCTTTAGCTACATTCGGAGGGAAACTGCGCTGGTCATTCTCATGGGATGATCTGTGGAGAGACCTGAAGGACACCATGGCTCGGTCCATTTAGCACAGTGTTTCTCAACCTTGACAATTTTAAGGCATGTGGACTTCAACTCCCAGAATTCCACAGCCAGCAATGCTGGCTGTGGAATTCTGGGAGTTGAAGTCCACATGCCTTAAAATTGTCAAGGTTGAGAAACACTGGTTTAGCATCTCCATGAAGTTGCTGAGACAGTCGTCTGCTGGTTAGGTGTAAGGCATCATTCATACACTAAGACCTAGAGGACCGGAGCTGTCCAGCCAGGGAGCCCTTTGTCCTGCAGCAGGGAGGAAGTGGAGGGGGGAGCAGGATAAATTACCCAGCAGGCTATCGGTTATCCGTTATTGCTGTCCCCTCTTCCCACTAATGTGACCAGCTGGTGCAAACATACTGGCAGGATTTCTACTAGTGAGGCCTCTCAACACCGGAGGGGGAGGGTATATGTGTGTGTGTGGGGGGGCGTCCACTCAATGGAGGGGAGGTTAAACTGACCTGAACATTGAAGGACCTTTTGGGTCCCGTCTGATTTCCTAACCATTTTTACTGCTGTCTGTCCTGTGGCTGCCAAAGGCAGGGAGGGCCTCTCAGCCTCAGCTGAATTTATCTTTCTCAGGAGATGCATTTGAAACTTGGCTGGGACAGACAGCCTGCTTCTTCCATCCACCGCACAACACAAAGTCAGGAATGGTTTTTTCAAGGTGAACGATTTCCTGGGCAACAGAGCGGCACCAGCCTCACTCAACCCATCAGCCCCCCCTCGCAGGACTGGCCTCCAGCGCTCCCTCCCTGGGCTGGCCCACAGGCACCTGGACGCCAGGCCGAGGCCTTTTTGTGGTGAAAGGAGGCCCGCTGAAGGAAGCCTGCCTCAATTTGCTGCAGTACAGACTGTCCAAAATTGCAAGTTCGGTTCTTTTCCTCCACCACTTTGTGGTCAGGGAGTCTGGTGGATTCCTCGGGGGGATTCTTATGAGCTAATTTCAGATCGATTCAGCACAGAGCAGAGAAAGTGGCTCCCTCCTTCTCCAGTTATTGAATCATTGATCTTTTCATTTCTTTTTAAAACTTGAGCCTGAGTATTTTCAAAGGAAATCAACCAACTTTGGAGGCATGAAGAACTTTCATTCTTGAAGAAAAGCTAAGTAAAAACTAATAAAAATGGACAAATAATTGTGGGTCCTTGGTCCTCTCTCAGCTTGCATGTTTTCTTGCAGATGTTTCTTGCAGATGTTTCATTACCCAAACTAGGTAATATCATCAGTGCTAGTATAAATAATTGTGGCCAGAATAATGACAAGGGGTCATTTGAATCAAGCAACAAGGCCATTGTTCATAATGGCTGAAACCAGAGAAAAATCTATCTCTGTATTTATTAATGACATTTTAAAAGTTTATTCTGTTTGTCATCAGCCCCAGGGAATCTCTAAATTGGGCGGGAAGGTCAGCCTTGTCTCCTCATTGTTAGCCTAACTTTCCTGGCAATGCACTGATTTCCCACAAATTCACTGAGGGAAGAGGGGCAAATGGTTACGGAGATCATCCTTGTCCAAGGCAATCAGACTTTGCAGGTGCAGCATATGGTATTTTGGTAGCAGGGACAGACATTTCTCAAAGGTTTCCCCCATTTAAAAATAGCTCCCTGAAGGAGAACCAAGGCCATCGGCATTTGCTGCCCTGGTCACTGCTCAGACAGGGGGGGCTCAGGATGAGCAGATGACCCTCAACAGTGAGCCAGGCACAAGATAGCCTCGGAAGAGCAGAGGATGGAGCGGGCTTCACCCCCTCCAGGGGACCCACCCTGCCATGACAGAAGCCCCCAAGGAGGCCTCCGGTTCCGCCTCCCTCAAGAAACATCTGCCCTCAGCAGAGGATGGACTCCAGCATGAATCCTATCAGGCATAAGAGTTACTATGGTGACATCCATTATTCCTCTTTTCACAGAGATGAATCAGGAGCTAAAAATAAGAAATCTGTGGCAGATTGATCGGGGTGGGGGTGGGGGAGGTAAGTATTGGGGCAAAATGGATGGTGAGGGTATTGGGGTGAGAGGAACGTCTGGCTCTTGACTCCTTTCCAACATTAGCCAGAGCTCAGTGAAAAGGTGGGTGGACTTCTTCACCTGGAGCTGACAGGAATCTCAGAATCAGGTTGCCTTTGCTCCTGAGAAGGAAGGTTCAGCAGGTCTGGGATCATCTGGGAGACATACCTGGCCTCCCTCTGGTGTCTGCTTCACAGGCAGCCCTTCTTTCCTGGCCTGACTGCTTCTCTGGCAAGGCTGGGGCCAAAGAACCCAGGACCTCCTTGATGAAGATGACCACGAGGGAAGTTCTTTGGGAAATGGGCCTCCAGTGGAGCCAGGCCTGTTTTTGGAAACCAGCCAGCCAGCAGGACGGCCAAGGAACCTCTGAACAATTGCAAAAGAGGACGGAGCAATCTCAGCCTCCAGCATTTTTGCCAGACTCGGCTTCATGCAAGCCCGTTTGCTACAGCAGGTGCTTTCCCATCAAACTTCATCCTTGTCAGCATGAATACATCTCGCTTCAAAGCCCCATTTATTGCAAGAACAATTTGAGCAATTATCCTGACAGTCAGAAATAATCACTTTGTCTCTGTTGAATAGAGCTGCTTCATGGTTAGAGCCTGGCTCCTTTTGTTGGGGAGGGGGTATCAGGTGGGGGACCGTCACAGTGGAACCGGTGCTTCTGAATGCCCCAGCATGTCAGCAGGCTTGCAGTGTTCAAACATGCTATGTAGGAGTGGTGCGTGTGTGAATGGGAACACTGTATTAAATTATTGCATCGTGTTATGTGATTACTTTTTGCAAATTTGTGCCTAGACTTAGGAAGGTTGAATTTCAGGATATAACCATGTATTAAAGTAGTTGTGAAAAAAATGATGTTGGGTTCCAGGCAAAAAGTCAACAAAACAAGTTATGTCTCTCCTGCTGGTTAAAGCCTATTAAAGCTTAACATTTTTTTGAAAAACACTCCAAAACAATTACTGGTTACAGAACAGAATCGAAAGATAGAAAAGTCCATGTTTTGTTGACTGTTTTCCTAGAAATCCAAGATAAATATTTGTCATTTTGGCCACAGAAACGTCTTCTGTCCATGGTGCTGAAGCACCACCAACCCAGATCTGGAGTCGTAGCTCACCCATGGCTCGGCTGATGCTCCCCGACCCTCCTTTCTCTCTCTAACAGACACACAGCCATTCTTATCTTTAATTCTATTACAATGGCACACAAAGGTCTTGATGATGCTTTATTTCCGTTTCCCTGGAGTCTGTCTCGGGGCCTCCATGCTTGGCCTTTGATTCACCGTGTATCTAAGCTGCAGTTAATCACCCTGAACTGCTGACTGCATTGGAAATCTTTTCTTGCTGAGCTCCGGGGCAGCGTCTGGGGTGGCTGTGATCAGAAGCAGAAACGTGCAAGGAAATCTGTGCACCATTTGCTGGCTGACACGGCTCACATTGAGACTAGGCGTGAGAGGGAAAGACCCCCCCTGGGGCCGAAGGTGCTTCTCGGTGGCAAAGGAGAAAAGCAATAGACAGACTGGATTGCAGGATTGCAAAATCTTTAAGGCACACATTTTGAAGCTCTCTTTTCCGTCTGATTAGCTGCACACGAGAACCCCTGAATGGTGCTCCCTCCCCTTCCTCCTCCAGCCTCACCGTTAATTTAGTTTTCTCTCCTGAATGTGGCAGTGCACCAGCAGGGGAATTTTTCATCCTCCCAGGATAGCTACGGCTGCTACTCTTGAACAAAAGAAGTTCAAAGAGAACTGTCATGTTAAGCCACCGAATTTTAATTTATGTGGAAGCTCTTTTTGCCACTAATGGTCTGGATCCCAGTAATGAGTTTTGATCATATTACATGTGTAAATTAGTATAGCAACCCCGGGGTGTTTGTACTAGGGCTGCAGAAGGAACGGTGGCCCCCGGGGCTCTCTCTGCTTCCTGCTGCTCAGCCTCTTTCTGTCCTCCTTGCTTACAATCCCAAACCCCTGGGTGCATTTTAGGATCGTACTCAACATTTGTGGAATTAATGTTGTTGTTGCAGGGAATGTTACCTTCTATGGTGCCACAGGTCTCTTGGTTATTTTTTGCTGCAATAAGATTTCTTTCCCCTTCTGTTCAATCAGGACTGATTCTCAGAGACTGCTTGGATTAATCCCTGCAGTTTTCTTGGCAAGATTTTGCAGAAGTGGTTTGCCATTGGCTCCTTCCTGGGGCTAAGAGAGAGGAACTGGCCTGAGGTCACCCAGCTGGTTTCGTGCCCAAGGCAGGACTAGAACTCAGGGTCGCCCGGTTCCTAACCCGATGCCTTCAACACAACACCAAACTGGCTCTCACAACACTGACATGAGACAATTAAGTGGGGTTCCAGCCGCGCCCTGCAGCCCTCGAACTGCTGTCCGGCTTTCCTGCCCCTCTCAAGGGGGGAGCTGACCCGCAGACGGAGAGCCTGGCTTGGCTGCCTTCTGCCTGCAGCTCCAATTACAATTTGCTTTGGGCTGATCAGCATCCATTCTCCAAAGGAGACACTTCAGTCAGAGGGTGGGCATTCTGTGCCTTTGAACAATGCAAAAGCTGCAAAAAGGTTTTTTAAAAGGAGGTTTAGAATGTTTAGAATGTTGCAGCTGCAAAAAGAGAAGCCTCAGGTGGAGGAAACCCCGCCTTCAGCCCAGGCTCACCCCGGGCGTCATCCTGCACGTGGATGTAAGATCTATTTTTCTCAGTGGCACTGGCATGTGGAGCGGCCACCAAAAATCTCTGTCATCCATACTTTTGCCAGTTCTTAAATTCTGCAAAACACCCCTAGAGAAGCCAAACCATCTGCAGCCTGGCTGTTCTCGTGCAGGCAGTTTGTCACTGCAGAGTTGGTCGCAAAGGACCAAAGTGCCCATTTTGCCCCCAGGACCGCGACATAAACCAAGTGGTGCCACAGCTCACTTGGTGACATGCAGCCCCAGTCAGAAATGGCCACCTGTTTAAAACTGGCTCATGTTTACAGCCCATGATTGTTTCAAGATGTTTACAGGGGTCATTTTTGCTTTTCTCCCTCCAAAAGACAGAGTGCCAAGGAAACAGAATCTCTTTTTTATTTGGCTGTCTTCCTGGGTACATCTAGGATTTCTCATGCAACCATCAGCAAATGACACATCACAGCAAAAGACAACCATGGAGTGCACAGAGGGGAAAGGGGGCCCGGACCCGAACCGCTCACGCACAGGAGGAGGCTGTGAAATGGACTGAAGCGCTTTCGCAACACGGACGGGCTCCTTTGACACTGCATACCTGGCATCTGAGCCCAGCACCTGAGCCCTCTCTGCACACAGAAGGGAGGGGGCCCTGCTGCGGCACCCCACTTGTGGCAAGGGTCTCTCTGCCGCACCCCACTTTGCCAAGGTGCTGGTGTGGGAAGAGCTGGGGTGCTGAAGGTCCATTCCCAAGAGCTGAAACCCTCCAGAGATGGTCCTGGGCTCCTCTGTGGAAGGCAGGCTCAGGGGCCCAGCCTGGGGGGCCTCCGGACCCACTCTGCCCCTTGGGATGCCTCTGCTTTCTGCCCCCCCGGCCCAGAATGCCCCTGCTTTATTTCCATTTCCAGGGTGCCTCATTACAAAGAGAAGGGGAGCTGCTGTACCCTTGAGCAGTTTCAAGGGGGGGGCTATAAAACATACGGACGTTTATTCCCCTGCTTGAGACAGAGCAAAGGAAGGGCGAAGAGGAGCTTCCTTTGCACGTGTGGATGTATCTGAGCAACAGTGATGATGGGCAAAGGGCATCACTCCCGCTTCCCCTCTTGGCCTGCTTCTTCCTCTTTACCTTCCTCTCTTTCCTTTGCAATCCTGCTGCCCCTTTGGCATTGCCCAGCTGCCCGGGCTGTCCACTCTCTATGCCATCTGTTTTGGGGGGCTGCCCTCCCTCATCACAGGGCCATTCCTGGACTTGCTGGCCTCTTGCACAACCTGGCTGTCCCGGTGCCGAAATGGCGAGGGGGACGCAGGAGACGTCCTGCTCTGTGCGGTGGGAGGAGCAGCTCTCGGCCGGCCTTCTTGCTGGAGAACGAGCACGGGGGGGGGGGGGGGGGGGGGGGGGGGGGGGGGGGGGGGGGGGGGGGGGGGGGGGGGGGGGGGGGGGGGGGGGGGGAGACAGACGCAGGGAGGCTGAGGTCCGGCGGGTTCACTGCGGCGAGTTCAGAGCAGAGCCAGGGCCGCTCCCTTCGGGGCCACGGGGGGGCAAGGCCTTGGAGCTGTAATAGTCAACCACCTGCTTGGGCACCTCTGCCAGCACACACTTGGCCAGGGCAGTGGGCGAAGCCTGGAAGACAAAGGAGGCTGAGAGGTGAGCTGGCAGCCAGCTTGGGGGGGGGGCATTAACTGTCCTGCCCGAGGGAGGGGGACTTACATTCTTGAACTCTCGGAAGGGGACGAACTGCACAATGTCCCGCATGACAGGCTCGCCTTTGGGGGAACGAAGGATCCCATCATCCCCATCCAAGATCTGCATGTCCGTGAAGTCGGCGTTGCCCACCCCCACAATGATGATGGACATGGGCAAGTAGGAGGCCCGGACGATGGCTTCCCGCGTGTCCGCCATGTCAGTCACAACCCCGTCAGTCAAGATCAGCAGGATGAAGTATTGCTGTGAAAAGAAGCGCCAGGTCAGGGGCCCCCAGGAAACAAGCAGGACGGAGGGGACAGTCGGGGGTGCAGACGAAACTCCTTCGGACTCTTCCCTCTGACGAGCCTCTGAGCCAACGGCCACCAGCCGATCTTGTCGGCACACAGAAGAGGCGGCAGCCCTTCCCTTATTCTGGAAATTGAGAGGCCGCTTGGAATGACGAGGAGAGTCCAGGCTCTATTGCAACCCCCCAAGACATCTACCCCTCCCCCGGGCTTCCTTCTTCAAAAGAATGAGGGGGGAGGGGTGAATTGCCAGAGATGGGCACCTCCCATTTTCTTGGCAAGAGACAAGTTGCTCTCTGTGTCTTCTCTGGTAAGAGCTGCAGGGTTCCTGTGCATGTATCAAGTGCCACAGTCTCGTGAGAACAGCACAGGCACAGCCCCAGCTGGCACCAGCCAGAGTGGGCGGTGGGCCTAGCTCTGGAGATGCTGCCCTCCACAGGGCTCTGCAAGAGGTTTCTGGCGACACCCGCACGTTGCAGGGCCCGGGATTTGGGTGGCCGGAGGCCCTCCAGAAAATCAAGCTTCAGTTCAGAGGAAGGCAATTCGTTCCGATTTGAAATCGGTTCAAGAATGGAAAACCAATCGCCATATTAAACGCCACTGCATTGATCAGGTAATTTGTTTTGTTTTTTAATTCCATTTGCTTTCCTTAATCAAATTGACCTGATTCAAAATGTCAACGCAACGGACAGGTGGAGGAAGGCTGGAGCTGATTTGCTTCCTTCCCAGTGTCCCTTCTCCTTCGCCCTCGGCCCTCTTTGGCTCCCCAGCCTTTGTTCTTGCTCTGCCAGCGGCCCAGCCTCCCCTCACTCCCTCCCCCCTCACTCCCACCCCAGGCCGTGAGGACGGAGGCATCCGTTGCCGCCATTGATTGGCAAGAGAGGCAGGGAAGCTTTCAACCACTTAGCAAGCGTGCCAAGAGCTGCCAAGATCAGGATGAGAAAAGTCATGCGGGGCCCTGGGCCCTCGCCCACTTGGCACATGTCAGTAACAGAGGGAAATTTTTGTTAAACCAATAAAGGACAATATTCGTAGCTCAGGGTGAAATGAGGGCTCCTTAGTGCTCTCTGAGCTTGTTTGTTTTCTTGCAGACGTTTCATTACCCAAACTAGGTAACATCATCAGTTATGTTACCTAGTTTGGTTAATGAAACATCTGCAAGAAAACAAGCAAGCTCAGAGAGCACCAAGCACCCCCTAATTTTGTTAAAGCCACCCGGTCCGTCCAATGCTTTCGTGTATGTAAGGAGCCCAATCCACCATAAGAACCCTGCCTCCCTGGTGTCTGCTTTTCTGTCAAGCTGGGAACAGCTGGCTGGCTGAAGTTTGGCAATAGAGCTTAAACTCCAGCAAATGTGGGGGCACCGAGGTCAAAGGAGACTCAACCCCCAACTACCACCCAGAATGTTTCTGCTGATTCCCACGCACTCACCGAAGCTTCCTGGGTTTTTTCTTCATTAGCGGCGACTTTGGCGACTTTGGAGATGATGGGCGCCACATTGGTTGGGCCGTAGAGCTGAATCTTGGGCAAGCAACTCTGGTAGGACTCCACCACCCCCTGGATGCCTGGCAAGGAGAGGGGAAGATTCAGTGGGCCCTTCTGTGGGCGACAGAAGCACAGGCGGGGTGGGGGACGTCTTTCCAAGTGAAGAGAAAGTTTGAACTTAAGCCAGGAGTGGAGAAACATCCTGCTCCCCCCAGGAAGCCCCCCAGGCAGAGATTACAAGCAAATGTTCTGCAAACATTTTTCCTTTTCTGAATCCAGAAGGGTTTTGGCTGTTCTGGGGGAAGTGTGTCTGATGAACAGAAGATGTGCTAATCCAGCCACAGGTTCCAGCAGCATTTTGGCCCTGGCAGAAAGTGCCCACCAGAAAGGCAGAAGGAGCAGAAGCTAGCAGAAGCCATCCTCACCTTCACACTCATCGTTTTCAGGATTGAAGTTAATGGCAAAATCGTGGGAGACCTAGGAAGGAAGGAAGGAAGGAAGGAAGGAAGGAAGGAAGGAAGGAAGGAAGGAAGGAAAGTTAATCATGGAGCCTCCTCCAGCCCCTTTTTCAGTTGGCATTGCTTGGTGGCTGGAAGCCGTGGCAGCTGCTGCAGTATCCTGAAGGACTCAGAGCTGTCCGAGTGCCAGGGGGGATCCTACCACCCAGCTGGTTGGCAGGAGAAGGTGGAGGGAGGTCCTGTGCTGGATGCAGAGATGGCAGAAGTGCCAATTTGCCCTGCTTCACAACTGCTTGATGGGCACACCAACACCCAGAAAGGCCGGTCAGCCTGGCAGCAAAGCAGCCGAGAAACTTGTGGGACCCTGAGGCTGAACAGCTTGGCTGAGCAGACCCTTCAAGAGCCCCGAAACACGTCAGTCAACAAGATATCACAAAAGTCCCGGTGTTCTTATAAGGCAAAAAAAAAGGAAATGTTGGGGGGGGCGCAATAAGCAGGTGTGACGGCAGCTCAGCCAGTCAGGGTCCGACCTCCCACAGGAGCACTGGCCAAGCTCCTCTCCAGTGGGGCCAGCTGCCTTGGGGACCAGGATGCCTCTCCCCAACTATCGCCTCTGCCCCCCCATCTTGTTTCACGCATGTCCCTTGACTTACTTCATAATTGGGGGGGATCCTTGCTCCGAAGCCCAAGGCAGAGAATTTCTTGTCACTGTGGAGAAGCAGAAACCAGTCTGGCTGCAAAGGGCTTGGAAGCCCCTCACCCAAGTCCCCCTCTTCGCTTTCCCCAAGACCCCTGACTTTGCCATGGGGGGGAGATGCCTCCAAAGTGGCTGTTCTCCGGTGGGGATGAATGCTCGAACTGGCCAGGTGAGGGCTAGAGGGAGCCTCCCCCCCTTGAGTGCAGCACCCCCTTCAGGGCCTGGCACCACTGAGACACTCTCCCCCCTCCCGAGTCACCTGTCGTAGTCCTGGCAAATCTCCCCCACGGCCACCAGGGCCTTCAGGTATTCGTTGGGCTGATAAGGGTTGATGTAGTGCAGGGAGCAGCTGTTTCGGGGGTCCCCGTTGGAGGCTGTGAAGTCAATGGCCACCTGGGGGGAAGGCAGGGGGGAGGGGGTCAGAGGCAGGGAGCCAGCAGGTTAGCCTGCGGGGGGGGGCAGATCCAGGCTTCCCCATCATTTGCCAAGGGGTCTGAGATGAGGGGTGCAGAACCCCCCGCCCTTGGGAGGCAGAACCCAGGAACATCCTCAGGACCGGTTCCTGCCCAAACTGGGTTAGGGGAGTGAAGAGAAACCGACATCAAGGAAAGGGACTAATCCGGCACAGCCCATTTTTGCCAATCAGCCCTGAACTCGGAGCAAAGCAGGAATTGCCGCCGTCTCTCTCCCTCCCTCTTCACGCGCCCACCCACACACACACACACACATCCTGCGAGTGAGGGGCTCTCGTTCCTGGGATGCTGCCCGTCGCATGCCCTCGCGGGCAAAGTGGGCCCAGAGCCAGCAATCTGTTCCTTGCCATGTTCTGGAACTGACTCACTCCAGGAAGGAGCTGCTCTTTCAAAACGCAATCTGCCGCCTGCTTCTTGTTTTGGAAGAGAGAAATCTGTGCGGCGCTGCCAACGGGGTGCTCTGACAGCCACGGCAGGAAGCTGAGGTGACCAAGAAGCTGGGGGGGGGTGGCAGCCCACCTGGAGGCCCAGCCCTAGATAAAGCCCACATTTCCAAAGCCCCCGGCCCCTCCCTCGGTGCTTAGCGTCTCCCTTGCCAAGGTACGAACAGACAGCGTGCCCATCTCTACACCAGTTGGCGACAAGTGCAAAAGGAGGAACTGATAAACAAGCCCCCCCCCAGAAGTGCCCGTGTCCCTGGGCTGGAACAGAAGAGCCCCCCCCACCCCGGTTCTGGCTTCAGAGACCCTTGGCCTGCTCTGGGCCAACCGAGGAGGCCGGGCGCAGCTACTCACCGTGAAGTGGATCTGGCAGCCGCCCATGATGTAATCCAGGAAAGAGTAGACCCTGTGGATCTTCCAGAGAATCTGGGCATCAGAGCAGGATGAAGGCTGCTTCCTGCCAGCCCAGCTCTGTGCCCAACACAGGGCAACAGATCTGCAGGCCAGGGGGCAGAATTACAAGGAGGGGGCCAGGCCTGCTGTAACCCACAGGTGGGGTGGGGGGACAAGAGCCTGTTCATAGCAGACCCATAACCCACCCCTTTGCTCCCCACATTTCCCCTTGCCCAGCCCCCACGCACCCCCACTGACAACGAGAAGCCGGCCCATGGGCTGGCCACTTACCTTCAGGTCCAGGAGAATGACCACCCCCGAATTTCGGTAGTTTCGCTTCTTCAGTTTGTACTTGGGATTCATGCAGTCCCATTGGATCTAATGGGGGGAGGGGCGAAAGGGATCTCTTTTTATTCCTGCTGGGCCATTCATGTCTGCACAGAGACCAGATCCAGCCAGCCCCTGCGGATGGCTGCTTTCTCTCCAGGAAGCCCCCTCCCCAGCTGTGGAGCTTCCCGGGGGAGGGGCTGCGTGGCCTCCTCCCTGTGCACCAACCTTGTTGCCACCTGTGGCTTTCTGCATCTCCTCAAAAGTAGTGTAAAACTCTCCAATGAAGTCGTGCTTCCCTCGGGAGTCATAGTCCAAGACGACACACTGCATACGAGAGACCCTTCAGGACCCCTCGGAACGGCCCCTTTCTGCCCAGGATCCGGCCTCCTCGTCCACCCCCTCGCCCAGGGCCAGAGAGGACGCGGGCCTGCCGACCTCATGGCCCCAAGGCAGCAGTGCCCGGCTGGTCTCGGAAGTGGGGTACAGCAGGCGGTATCTCACAAGCCTCCCTTCTAGCTTGCTGGGGGCACTGCTGAAGTTGCAGCCCGAGCGGCTGGGGGGCGGCTGAGGGCACCAGCCAGGTGAGGGTGGCCCTCCGTGCCCCCCTCACTCACCCTCAGCTTCCGCTTCTCTTCACAGCTGCAGAGGGAGTTGAGGGACACTTTGAAGGGTTCCCAGATGGGGCTCAGGTTGTTCTTGACAAACTGCGAAGCACAGGCACATGGTCCAAAAGGCAGCCTTGGGGGGGGGGCTGGAGGGGGTCCCCAGCAAATGCCTCTCTCCTCTGCTCCTCAAATCCCCCTGGCTGATCTGAATCCCAGGGTGAGGGTGAGGAGACAGCAGCAGCCTGGAAGGGGGCAGGCCATAGGAGGAGGACCCCTGAGCCCCAAGGGCTCTCCATGGCTGCATGGGCTGGAGCAGGTCTCTTGGGGGGGGGAAGCAGATCCTGGGGCCCAGTACCTCCCTTCTTTCACCATGAGGATCAGAAGCTTATAATGAGAAGTAGCATCTCCCCTCCCTGGCCAGAAGCGTTGAGACTTTACCCTTTGGCCCCTGGGAGGAGACTCTTACCTCAGTCCGGTGTACCAGCTGCTCACTTTCATCATCATTGATCCGGTAGATCTCCAGAAAGGGATCTGACTTACTGAAAAGATCCTAGGGGAGACAAGGCTAACCTTTACCAATGGGTGGCTCTTCTGCTCCTCTTTCTAGGGTCCCGAGGTGTTGGGGTGTGGGGTGTGCAAATGACATGATGCAACATATTGCAAGGCCATCCCAGTTGTGTCCTTTGTGTGAAGGTGCCAGGGTGCCATCATTTTAGTGGCATGGAGGTTTGTTGCAGGGGTGAGAGGGCTGGCCAAACCTGGGGAGTTTTGCTTAATCCCACCTGGATATGTTCTTCACTGGGCATCTGAAGACCACTCCCCACTTCATTGGGTGGTTGGGAAAATGAAGGGTGTGTGGGAGTGGGGTCCCCTAAACCCCACCCCCTGAAAGAAAAGGGGGCAGCACTTTGCCTTGCATGCAGGCTGGCTGGCAGAGAAGAGTGAACGGATGCAGAAGCCCCTTCCCCACTGACAGACCCCACCCAGCAAGTTCTCCAACATTCCTTCCCCTCGCTTCCTGCTCCATCTGTTCAACTTTTAAATATCCTTTTTCATTTTTTAAAAAACGGCGTTCATATTCAATTTCACAGCTTTGATGCCAGCCTGATTTATCTCCGTCACGTAAGATGACGAATTTGCATGGATGGCTTTGATTACAGGCGCGTGAGCACACAGGCAGGCACACACACACACACACACACACAGAGTCCGTTTGCTAGATGTTCGCTGATGATGTCAGTTTTTCATTCCTAATAAAAACTGCTGCTCAACCTGCACCTTCCCTTCAGCTCCTGAGCAGATGGTGGAAGGCAGAGCCCTGAGCGGCTGTTTCGGTCTCCTGCCCCAAATTGGGCCCTTCCTATTCCTGGGGGGGGGGACTCTGGTGGTGGGGTGGGTGTGGGGGCTACACTGGCATTCACCTGTCCAGGTCAATTTATCTCCCAGCGCCTGTCTGAATGGCCCGGGCTCCTGCAGCGTTGCAATTCCTTTCTCCCCTTGCCTGCCCCCCTCAAGCCAAGTGTGGCCACACTGACCCTCCCCAGCTGACCTTCCCCAAAGTAGAAGATCACAGCCCCCTCCCCTTCCCTCCCACCTTGTCATCCAGCTTCTTTGCCCGAAAGAACAGTTCCACAAAGCCGTTGTCTCCAGAGATCTCTTCTGAGGTCACCTGTTAAGAGGGTCCAGAGAGGCCCCTTTAGAGGCCTGGCCTGTCGGTCGGGAGGTCCCCCAGCCACTGCTTCCAACCTGCCACAGGGTGGGGGCCGGGAGGGGGCACTCACTGTGATGGTGGACTTGCCGGCGGATTTCCCATACTTGAGAAAGAGCGGCTTGCTCACCCGCTTTTGAGCCACAATCTGCAAGGAGGAGCAGAAAGGTGGGCTGACGGCCCCTTCTTGGGCTGGCGAAGGGGCCTGGCGGGGCTGGGCCCACTTAGGGGAGCCTTTTCCTGCAGCCGCCGATCCGAGCTATCAAGCTTGACCCGCTGGCCTGCGGGGAAAGGTGCATCCTAGCCCTAAGCCTTGCAGTGGGGGCAGGTGGTCTGCAGGCATGGGGGTCTCTCCTGCCAGGATGAGGCGCAGCAGGCTGTAGGGCAGAGGCAGTCTCTTCCGAGGGGCTCCTTTGCAGATTAGCCCCCCTCCCGCTGCAGCTAACTGGCAAGGTCTTGGTGTCCGGAGCCAGGGCCCAGAGACCGCTCCTCCCCCGCCTTACCTGCCCCACCGTGCACTCCATGCCTCCCAGGAAATCATCATCGTGGGTCCCCACGCTGCCGCCGTGCCCGTGGATGTCATAGACTTCAAAGCGCAGCTTCTGCACCTCCTCAAAGTAATAGTCCACCATAAACACCTTGGCGAAGACCGGGTTCAGGCTGCTTTTGATGACCTCAGATCTGTCCACCTGGAGGCACAGAGGGCGTCAGCGTCACCTGCGAGGCCTTCCACCCCGAGACCACCAAGCCCAGAAGGCTTAGCCTGGCAGAGAGATGAAGAAAATGCAGAGGCGGACACCCCCCCGCCCCCCATGCGAATGGCGGGCTCAGGCCCCGCCAAGGGACCCAGAGCAGGCGGGGAGGGCGGCCCAGTCTGGTCCGGCTGATCTCGGGCAGGGGGGGAGCGCCGCGAAAGGAGGCCCCGGGAAAGGGCGCTGCGCTTGGGGTGCCCAGGGCGGGCCCGAGGCGGCTCCTCTCCCGGGGCGGAGATGGTTTCAAGCCCGGTTGCGCGGCCGGAGTTCTCAGCCCGCCTTGCCCCAAAGCTGCGCTTCTCGGCTGCGCCTTTCGAGCCTGGGCAGGTCCGGCGGGGCCCTTGCGGCGGCTCCCTGGCCTGTTGGCTGCCCCCCCCCCCCGCTGAGGCTCCAGAGGGAAAAGCACGCGGGGCCACCAGGCACAGCCGGCACACAGCGCGCGCTCTTCCGAAGTCCGCTGGGTTCCAGCGCGGCCTGCCTCGGCCGGGAAGCTCTTCCCGCGGGGGGGGAGCGCTCCCCGCCTTACTGGCGTGGAAGGACCCCCCCCCCATTTTGGCTCTCGCTTCTTCAGACGGGCCCTCATCCCGCCTCCCTGCCTCTCCCTCCCGAAAGGGGGCTCTGCGATCCTGTGACCCTCTGGTGGGGCAGAAGGAAGACTTTGCCCAAACTTGCCCATGCTTCGAAGGGAGGCTGGAGGGCGGGGGACGCCGAGCCGCTCAGCAGAGGCGGCCGCTCTTGCTCCCCTTGCCGCACCCCCGCCTTGGCGGGCTGGGCCTGGTGACTGACGATGAGGAGGCAGCCCCCGCGCCCTGCTCTGGCCCCCCGCCTCCAAGGGCCGCCCCTCCCTCTCTCCAGAGGGCCCGGTGCTGAGAACGCTGCTTTGAGTTAGTGCTAACTTTGCTCTGCAAGCAAGTCATCCGTCATGCTGCTTTCCAGAAAAGAAATCAGACCACGTGCCTGATATAACTTTATGAAGTTTCAGTGCCTGGATCTACCTGGTTTTCTATTTCCTGCCCATCTTTTTTATCAGGTCCACCAGAGTGACCGCTCCCTCCCACCAGCACCCAGGTCAGCTCATTCATCCCTGGAAAACTATCTACGGCTTATCAATTATGCCTGCATCTTAGTTGGCCCTGGCAGAGATGCCCTGGCCCAGCACCACAAAGACGTTGGCTAAGAGAAATGTGTTAATTGTTATGGTGCTGGAGGCCAAGGAGTCTTTTGCTGCTAAAAGCCTCTGCGGAAGCCGAGCAGGTAAAAGAATCTTTTCTCAAGCACCAGAGACCGCCTCTTCCTCTTCCGGAGTGCAGCACCCACCCACCCACCCAAAAGGTTAAGGACAGACCAGGAACTTTTCTGGCTCTTTCTGCTTCTCCCTCTAGACCTGGGCAGCTTTCTTGGGCTGAGGCAAACGTTCTCTCCAGGCTAAGGATACCCGTTTTCTCTGTTTTCTCTTTCAAGCACACACACACACAGAAGCACCCTCACTCTTTATCTGCATCAGACCACAACATGAACCACGCCAAGCCTCCACTGCCCCTCTGGATGAAAAAGCTGAGCTGTCCATTTGCTTCTCCAAAGCCCGGTTGGCTTGGGTTTTGGTGCACCAAGCAAAGATCCCCCCAAAGCCCCTTTCTCTGTCCCTCCCCAAATATCTCCTTCCCAGGGATTGGGAGATTTATTAATTAGATGCACTGTCGGAGATAATCTTCTCAAAGTAAGCCACGGAGCTCATCTTGAGGCGGAGGCTTAATCCATCTCATCATGACCCAGATGTTGGATGCAGCAAATTGCCATCCGGAAGGGACAGTCAGCTCCCTTGGGGGTGGGTGGATTTCAGCCCAGATTGGGGGTGGGGGCAGAGGACCCTGTGTGGTGTGATTTCAGGGACTGTCAGGTGCTGGAAGGACCATGTCCTGCACTGGGATTGATGTGGGCAGGGGTCCGGTAGGCAGGAAGCCCCCTTGCTTGGACTGAGCCTCTGAGATGACTTATTGATGGATTAATTGATTAATCAAATTTGTACAACTGTCCCTCTCACAAAGCAGCAGCTCTGGGCTCTTTACAGATATTCACAAAGACTCAAGTGACAAGACCAAAGTTTTGGCTGCATAAAGAAGGGGACCTGATCTGACTAGGGACCCCCTCTCCCCAGCATCTGGACAATGCGAAGGCCATAGATATTTCCCATCTCCAAGGGAGCCACAGATGCTGAGTTGCAGATGCCTCTGCTTGCTCACTGGCGCTGCGTCCTTTTCCGGCAGCTCACGGAGCACGTTGGACTATTGTCCCGTTGCTCTACGTTCTCGTGATTTCTAAATAATGCCAAAGCATGAAATGGCAACTTTATCAATGTCAGGCCACGCAGCCCTTTGGGACATCAGCCAAAGTGATTTTCCGTGGCTGTTAACATGGGTAAAGACAGCCAGCTCCCTTGAAAATAGAGCAATATTTCAGTATTGATTTTGGCTGCTCGCTCTGAGCCTCATCCTCCATCCCTTTCAGAAAGGAGATAAGTCTTAAGCCAACCGATCTGCCTGCAAAGCAACCTGGATCTGCCCCTTGAGCAGGATGGCTTAAACGGCCCACCCAGCTTGGGACCAGCCCCCGATTATCTCAGTTGCCTCCAGCAGGGCCTGTCTGGAGACTCCATGGGGGTCTGCAGCCGGAGGGGAGGGGGAAGATGGGCTCTCTCTGCAGATCCCCCTCCCCAGAGGCTCCTTTGAAGGCCAGCTGCCTGTCTTGTTTTCTCCGCAGTGGTTTCCCAACAAAGCCACGGGTAAACAGTGCTCGCTTCAGAGGAGAGCTGGCGAGAGGAAAGAGCAGAATCGTGCAAAGCCTGGCTGCCAGTTAAATGGGCCCATTATATGTCTACTCTGGGCCCCGAGGACCTGGGAGGACCTCCGGTTTAGGGATGAGCTGCTCATCGACACCGGCTGCGCATGGCGGATGCTAAAGAAACACGTCTGTCTTTTGTTGAAACTTTGTTCTTCAAGCCTGCAGACAGGCAAGAGGCTCCCTTTTCCTCTCTCCTTTCTGGGGTGCTGAATGCCAGAAATCCAGGCTCCCCTCTGGGTCCCTGCAAGGCTCAGCCCGGATGCTGGGGGGAGGCTTGGCGCTTTGTGATCCAGCCTTCCTTTCGCCACAGGGAGGGGCGCTCTGCTCCCTGGCCACAGTCTGAGCAGGTATTGGAAGAGGGTTGGAAAGCTCAGACGAGCAGAAATGGAAGGGAAACAAGGCCTGTGCAATAACCGCTCAATGGGGGAGGGGGATTCAGCAGCCGGGTCTCGAGAGGAAACCGGGGGAGGGGGCAGCGGCCCTTCCAAAAGCACATCAGCTTCAACGCTCAGCCGGGGCCTTGCAGTTAACAGCTACACAACGAGAGTGATGTCATTAACATTTAGGCAGCCATTTTGACTGTTTCAGCCGTTCACCTACATTACGATACATTTCATTGCAACCCTGCAAAGGAAGCCGGTGTGGGCATCACCTGTTGGAGCTTCTGCCAGGTGAGGCAGGCAGGTTTGCTCTGCTGGGCTCCAGCTTCAGTGCCAGAGCAGCCACGAAAGGGGGCTCACTCTTGGGTTCCCCTGAAGTGCGTTTGAAAGTCCCTTGCCCTACGTTGGCCAAGAAGCATCCGAGCGACAGGGCTCTCTGCTCTCCCCCAGGGGAAGGCAGTGGAATCCATCCCCCAAAGCAGGGAGCTAACCTTGCTGAAATTGTGGACTGACCCTGCCCAGCCTCGGCACCACAGCAGGCCCTGCAAAACGCCCCATTTTACAGGTGCCACAAGCGCCGTTGCTGGCTATGCGCTCTGCACTTTCACCGAGAGCCAAAAGCCCTTCTTTCATGGCCTCTCCTTCAGATGGGGAGCCAAGCTCCTTCTGCCCTACAGAAAGGCCATCAACAGACCCAGCTGGGGGGAGGGAGGCTCATAGCATTTTCGTTTTGTCTCCTGGCCCGGCTAGCTGGGCGCAGTTTGCCAGTCCCTGTTGTCTGGGAGCCTCTAGCAGAGGCGAAGGGAAACCGTCATATCTAAGGAATATATGAAGCTGCAGGCAATTAACCCGAAGCGCTGGCAAAAGGGCCCCATGCCAGAAAGCGAGAGCAGGATCACAGGCAGACTGGAGCAGCCTGAAGGCCTGGCAGAACCCTCCTGCCACTGCCACGCGCACAAAAGATGGGGGGGGCTCCTGGGCACAGTGGAGCAGCAGCAAGGTCAATGGGGGGACACCTGTGCCTCAATTTAGGGTGGGGGGACTGCCAAGGCTTGGGAAGCTCACTCGGGGGCAGCGCCAAGGCAGCCTGCGGAGGGCAAGATCCCAGTGGCTGGATCAGACCACTCTGTGCTGTGAATGGGCACCCATCCATTCCTGATGATGGGGTTTTGCGGCTTGATTTGGGGCTTTCCCCCCATAAATTATTTACAGCAATACCAGCTCTTGCTTGGAGAACTAATGGGAATGGTGCTTTTGTGCACCAGGGAGTTTTCGTCAGCACACTTTAATGTCATTAGGAAGCCCCGTGTGCTTTCAGGCGAGGGAGAAATGCCCACCGCCAGCACAGGCTGCCAGGCATTTAGCAGACTCTGCAGGGCACATATGTGTCTCTGGGTGTTGCTCATTAAACCGCAATTTGAGTGGCATCTGATGATAGCTAAGCCTCCTTTCCCATGACTTCTTTGTTGGCTTGGTTCTTGGGTTATCTGTTTTGACTAGATGAGCTGAATGTGGATAGAGATCTTACAAGTAAGCCAATCTGCCAGTAACCAGGGAATGCTTCTCCTACCATAGGGCCCCGAGGCCAGGGAGCCTGAAGCTTGAGTCAGAGAGTTTCCCCTCTTTCAGTAGATTTCCTAGGCAAATTCAGCCCTGCTGGAGACTGGAGGAGGAAGAGGCCCACAGCCGATGCATTTGCCCTGCACAGACCTTGCTTGGCCCCAGGAAGATGGGAGGAACTCAAGGCCCAGGCAGAAAGTGAGCACCTGAGGACCATGCCAGAAACAAACAGAAGCAATGGAGTCTCTAAGCTTGTGGCAAGAACCTTTTGCCTCAACTCAAGTCTCTGGTGTAGGAAACTGGGTTTTATGCAGGATTCTCAGGCCTTTGGGGAGGAGCCTTAGCAAGGGGGTTGGGATGGCCAACTCCATCCAGTTCACAGCCAGCAGCAGCAGCAAAAACGAGAGCTCACCTCTCATAAGTGCAGAGATGGAGCGATTCCAAGGAAGCCTTCGGCCCCATCAGCCTCAAGGAGTTGCTGCATTACTTCAGTGCATTTCAGCAGGGATTGGCTACTTTGGGGGCTTGCAAAGGGCCAAGCAGGCTTGGCAGCATTGCAGGCATCCTAACTCTGGGTCTCGGAGCAGAATCAGCTTCCGCCGTGGTTGGAGGAACCAGAGAATGGGAAGCTGCAAAGCCCCATGATTTCCTGCTCGGCCAGATGGAGCCGTCTCTGCATCTGACCCTTTCAGGCTTCAGCTTTGGTGCTACAACTTATCAAACAGCAAGGAGCCCTTAGCAGCTGATCCCTCCGGGTGACCCCAAGAGGGGAGCCAAGGCAAAACTCTCAGGCCAGCTAGTCAAGTTGCAGTGCTTGCTCCGTTTAGCTGGCTTAGTCCATTGACAGGACTCCCGTGAGGTGGGTAGATCCCTTAAATGCATGGTTTTTTTATGCATGTGATACTAAGTGTGAAGGTGTTACGCATCCTCCTGAGAGACTTTCCACTTTGTTGCTTCCCATCTTTTCCTCTTTTTAAATGCACCGTGCATATATTTTGCACACATGCAAATAGAGGCATCTTTAATAGCTAATTTCTAATCAATTAATGTCATCAATTCATTCCAACAAAAAAGCTGATGCATCACCCACACCCTCCTGGGCTAGATCATTTCTCTGGGAGGGGAAAAGACCCATCTTTGTGCTCCTTGGTGGAGGCGGGCAGTTGGTCTGTGCCCAGTTCTCCTTGCCCCTCTGGCCCTAGACCTGCTCTTGCCTACAGGGTACCCACCACCAGGCCCCTGAGATCGCTGAGTCTTACAGACCCCAATCCTCAGGGCTTCCTTTAAAGGATGAAACAAACCAGCATCCTCACACACAAGCCCAAAGAGACCCAACTCAACATCCAAAACAAAAGACAGCCGAGTCCTTTTGCTGGGTTTAAAAGCCTGGCCCTGAAAAACAGACAGCTAGAAACACCTCAGCCTATACCTAGAAGATGCTTAGATTTTAGAAGGTCTCCTGCAGAGGCCCCCAAAAGGCAGGACAACCATCTCCAATGCATTGCAAGGACACGGACCTTTGCCCAGGGGCGGCAGGGCTGGTCAATGGGAAGGCAGCCAACCTGTCCCTCCTTTGAGGAGAGGAAGGTGGGTCTGGAGCAGATCTTCCTAACCCGCTAAAAGGTTGGGCACCATTTCTGAACAGCTCGGAATGACTTTGCTGCTTATGTGTGATGAGAACTTCCATCAGGCAGACCTGAAGGACCTGAGCTGGGAAACTCTTGAAAGGACAGATAGAAGATGCACCTTTGGAGCTGAGCCCAGAAGGACAGAAAGCTGCTGCTGGGACTTTGGTGGCTCCCGCCCAGCTTGCCCTCCTGCTAGACCCAGTTCAAGCCCCCCCGCTTCCCTTTGACCCTCTCTGCGGCCGCTGCCCACCTACCTCGGCCCACTGTCCTTGGGACTGCATGAGGAGGACGACACAGGGATCCGACTTGTTGAGGGTGTCCCGGTCGAGCAGGTGCTTGCAGCAGACGCGGAGCTCCACCTTGGAGACGCAGGTGGCCGAGACGACCCCCAGGTTGGACTGGGATGCTGGGTCCAGGATTTCATTCATTCTTGCCGGAAGCAGGGCTAGAGCCTGGGGAGAGCTGGCTGCACGGCAGGCGACTGAGGCCCGGCCCGAGTCCACAGAGTGAGCAGTGGGGCTGGCAGGAGCAGCAGAGCCTGATGACGCTGAGCGGCTGGCTGCTCAGAGCATCCCCAAGTGCCAAATGCCCGCTTCCCCGGTCTGCGCTGGTGCCTGCTGGGGAGCTGCCAAATGAGGCTAATTAAGAGGTTTTCTCAGAGCAAATTAAACAGCGGTGGTTCTTCTTCCTTTCCCTGATGTTGCTCCCACTCAGCTCCGTTGCTGCTGGCACCTGGGTGCATCTGTGCCTGGCTTCTCTAGAAATTGGGTCTGGGGGTGGGGTCCTTTAGTCTTCTGGCCTCCAAAGAAGTGAAGTGAAGGGGGAGAAAGGAGGGACGCTCCCCCTTTCACTTCCCCAACAGCAGAAGCTGCTCTTGCCTGCAGCTTCCTGGGTTGCAAGGCTTCCCCCTCAGCGGAACCAGAAGAGGGGCCTACCACGCTGAGACGCCCACGTGCGCTGCCTTAGGAGAGGAAGCAGCATCCCACGAGCCTCCCTGCTCCTTCGTGGAAGGGCTGCCCTGGTCAGGAAGAGGACGGCCTGCAGATACCAGAAGAAACACAGGGGAAATGACCTCTCAGTCGCCCTCAACACACAACTGCCTTTTGCAGGTGACCCTGTCTGCCCGCTGGGTGCCTGGGCAAAGAAGCTGCCTATAGAAGCTGTTTTGGCTAACTGAGAGCCCAGATTGTGCCAGAAACGGTAGAATGGAAGCATCGGATCCCGCTAAGCTTCAGCTGCTCCTCAGCAAAAGTATTCTGGGATCTGCCCTTTTGCCATCCTTGGTTCCACCTGGTGTTATCTTCTTCCAACCCACCAGAACTTGTCTTTTGTGTGGAAGGATTCTTTTCCCTGACAAGAATCCTTCCACACAACCAAATCCAGCCAGAATCCTGACATTCCTGCACCACACAGGAATGGCAAAACCCAAGAACTTTGACGCATGCATTTGGTCAATGCACACACCTGGAGGTGCTGCTGGTCAGCAGCTTGTCAGGCGGTTTGCCCAGGGCAGACAGGCAGCCCTTCTTGGGCCAGGAGAGTCTGCCATGGCGCCCCCCCCCCTGTAAAGGCTGAGGAGCAACTGCAGTGGGGGCTGCCGTCCTATCCCTTTTCCCTCTTGACTCTGGATAATCAAAGTACAAGAGGGAAGCAGGGCAGCCAGGAACCTTGCTCTCGAAACAGGACATGGCTGCTGAGAGGGGGATGTGGCAGGGAACTCCACTGCTGAGGTGGAACAAAGACAGCTGCTGCTGCCCAGGGCTTGTGCTGGAGGCCAGGAGCCAAGGCCGAGGGCCCACCATGAGCAGCCACCAGCCAGGCTCTACAACAGCCCTAACTCAGCTTGTCTCCACACTTCTCTGTGAGACACAAACACCCCCTGATTGCCGCTTGGCCCATTCTGATCCAAGGCTGAGGAGAGCTCTGTGGGCAATCCCTGCTCCTTCCCACCCAAATGGAGGCCCGGAAGGGGTCTGGGCTTGGACTGGTGGGAGATCCCTTTTTGAGGGCACTTGGCAGTTCCAGGAAGAGGAGGGGTCCCCTGGGTAGAAGGGCAGAGGGCTCTTCCTCTAATTGGTGCCTGGCCTTGTCAGTGGTTCTGGGTGGACGACCGTCTTCCCCACAGGTCCCCTTCGTCCCCCTGGCCTTCCTGGGAATTATGGGCACTGCGTTCCACACATTTGGAAAGAAACCAGATGGGGAGGGGATCTTTTGCTGAGTCCCAAAAACTGATGTCATCAAAGCATCCACCAGCACATTCGTGATCATGCATGTGCTCTGCTGCCAAAGCAGCACATCCCCACATGTTGGCATTTTAATCGACCAAAACAGATTAAGTCTAACTAAGGAAGGGTGCATGAAACTAAACTTTGGGGCTGAGTTTCCGCTGAATTAATCCAGGTTTGGTAATTACAAAGTATGACAACTTATCACCTAAGCAGGCCAGCTGGGCTCAGCCACCAAGGTTAAAACCAAACTCTCTTTGCTGCTCCTGTGCTGACCAAACTGAGCACATTGTAGAAATACCAGCCTCTCCATCGGAGAGTCTTCAGGGGCTCCATTCCTACGCGAGCCTCTTTTCCCTGACAAGAATCATTCCACACAACCAAATAACATTCAACAACTTCCCAGCGGACTAGCTCCCTGGGATCACCCTGGGCTGCTTCTTGAGATCCCGGCCATCCAGCTTTTCTGGGATGCACCCTTCCCTCCAGGCAGCCAGGAAGGCTGGGTGGCCAAGGCGGCTGCACCGCCCTGGGCACCTCCACATGCTGATGAGCTTCAGTCTTGGGACTGCAGGGTGACCCTGATGTGCTGCCTTTGGCCAACGCAGGACCCCAAGGCTTGATGGCTCCTTCTCCGGAACCAGCATTGCTGGAACCGAGTCCCGGTGCTGCCAGCCCAAAGCGCAGCCCGCCATGCCCGCCCGCCCGGAGCCAGCCCTGAGCCGGGCAAGTGCCCGGGCGCCCCTTGGTCATCTCCTCCTCCTCCTCCAGCCGCCCAGCCCAGCCCTTCGGGGAGAGGGGAGTGTGGGGCGCCCTTCGACCGCCGCCTGAAAGTTCGGGGCGGGAGGGAAGCCCCCCCTTCCCCGCCGCCCACGCCGGGCTTACCGCTTCTACAGCCGGCCGGAGAGTCGGGCTCGGAGCCGCCGCCTCCTCCCCAGCCTGGCTGCGCCCGAGACTCTCCGCTGCGCGCGGCGGCGTTAACCCTTCGGCGTCTGGCCGGCCGTGGAGGCGGAGGCGGCGGGGGGGGGGCAGGGAGGGAGTCGGGCTCGGCGCGGGGCTCGGAGGGGGGGGGCAGCCCGTTTCCGCCCGGCTGGATCCCTCCACGCACTGCCTCCCGCGCAGAGCCCTGCGCTCTCACCAGCTGCAGCTGCGCGGGCTGGCCGACGCTCGGGAGCCCGTCCATCCGCTCCTTCGCGGGCTGGCCAGGGACTCCGGCGCCGCCGGGGGAGACGCCGCTCCGCGCCCCAGGAGCCCCGGTTCCGCCGCTGCCCCTCCTCGACCGCGCACCTTCGGGAGGCGGAGGGCGCCGGAGGAGCGTTGGCGGCGCAGATGCTCTCCTGGAGCGCTCCGGCGACTCCCGCGCTCCCTCTCGACGGCCGGCCGGGCAACCCGGGCGAAGGCGCGGTCAGGGCAGGTGCCGCCCTTCCCGGGCAGCGCCGCGCCGCGCCAAGGCAAAGGGGCTGCCCGGCCGCCGCCTTCGGATCTCGCGCCTCCCTCAGGGTCCCTGGGCGCCCCAAAGCCCATCAGCCCCTGCCCCAAACTCCTGCGGAAGACAGTGCCATTCCTCCCCCACTTTCCAGCTCTTGATTTGGCATTTCTCCGGCGGAAACCAGGCAGTTGAGTTGCTCTAAGGTTCCGCTTCCAAGCAACCGTTTGCCCCCCCCCGCAAGCCCCCTCCCCGAAGCTGCAAGCATGAGATCCTGATGCGAGGGAGGGGCGCCAGTCATCACTTAGCCCTGGCAAGATTTGGTGAGGAACCTGGCCGGTCCAGCACAAGGCTTGCCTCGGAGGTTATGCCCGAGGCTAACCTGCACTTGAAAATAACCAATAAATTGCTTCTGCGGGTTAATCGGCCTCACAGTCTGATCGGTTCCTTTGGACGATCAGTTTCCACTCTTGACGTCTCCACCATCTTACAAATACCTTGGCTGGTGATGTCATAAGAGACAAAACTAGCCTCAGTTCAGCTACCATTTTTTAAATTTGGGGAAAGCTGAAATCTACAGCTTACAGTGCCCCGTGGCAGCTCATCTACCCACAATTTACCCTTCTTGACGCTGCACCATTGCTGCCTGGGAAGTTCTGTGTTTAAGAGGCTCTGGGAAACCAGGTGAGGCTCCTCATCTGAGACTTATTTGTGGAAGAAGTTGGGAGACGTTGGTGAGCAGAGCCCTCTTCGCAGGAACTCACCATCCCTCTGTGTTGTCCTGCTTGACAATCTTCAAGTTGCAAGGAGGAACAATTTTCACCATCTTCCAGGGCCCGGAAAGCAAGTCCCAAGGGCACACCTGAGGGTCCTGGTCTGCTAGCCTTCAGCTTCTCATTTTTCCCTGTCAAGGCATCCTGCATCTCACCCCCTTACTACATTTTTGGTAGAACCACAAAATCTGGGCTCTTCACCAAAAACATTTTGGGCCAAGGGAGATCATGCTACCCCTGAATACTGCGTTGGTAATTGTACTGATGTTTATGTGTCTTTGGCAACGGAGTATCACAGCAGCTGTAGCAATAAATGCACAATAAATAATATGTACACTTTATAGATGCAGCTTAACTTGGAACAACTTACATCGTGCAATGGTTCCTTCCACACTATGAAACAGTAACAACTGCGCATCTCAGATACTTGGGAAGGACTCGATAGGTGGACAAAAATGCCAAATCAAGTCTAAACATCTGGCTGACCACATGACCAACCATAAAAATAATATAACAAAGTACAGATTATGCAAAAATGCAGAAGAAAATAGATTGTACATTCAGCTCATGCAAGAAAATCACACTGATAATAAACAATGACATCACACAGTCTCCAAATGATTCATTGGAACATCTGTAAAAATGATCATAATAAACAATTGGTGAGAACGTATGAGTTGAAAAAGAAGTTGGGAATAAGCAGATTAAAATATTGTGAATACAAACTGATAAAGTCTTGGCTCATAACACACCAAATTTAACTGTAGTTGAAAACAAGAAGGTGTGGATAATGGATATGGCAATACCAGGGACAGCAGAATAGAAGAGAAAGAATTCTAGATCACAAAGCATCAAGATCTAAAATTGAAATTGAATAGTGATGTCCCGGTGCCTGGAGGCCGTGCGAGTCTGGATGGGGAGGAACAGGCTTCGACTCAACCCGTCCAAGACCGAGTGGCTGTGGTTTCCGGCGTCACATCATAGCCAGTTGGTTCCATCTCTGG